AGGGAAAAACAATTCAATAGTTCCTCTTTGTGTATTGTGCTTTGTCTAAAAATGAAAGACTACTTTTTTTGCACATTAAGAACCAACTTTTCGCACATATTCCACTTCACATTTTTGAAAGCATCCAAGGAAATACTGTATTATATAGAAGATGACCCTGATTATAAGATGATCCCCCAATAATTAGATTCTATACATGGAAAATGTATAAATTTGTTATAATTTTCCAGGTATAGAATGTAATTATTGGAAGTCTGTTTTGAATTTGTCCCTCTCCCACTGCTACATCAGGGAAAATAAACCTGGGGGGTCAAGTAGCTCTTTTCCTCTCTGCTTCCCAACTTTCTCTCATGGCAGCCCTTGTCCCTCTCTACTGTCAGACCCTACTCTCCCTGCGCACACAGAAGCGAGGAGCAAATTTGAAAACAATAACCTTGAAATTAAACATGGCTGTAGACTTTTGCATATAGCACCCACACACTGAATTCATCCAGAATTGATGCATGTTACTTTTTTTTTTTAAACTGCTGCAAGTTTTAGTACAGGTACTCCATAAACACACTTTTGAGCAGCACTTTGGCATTCACTTGTATGTAATAAAAATTATGCATGATATTAGTCCAAACCACACAATTCAATGGGCTGGACCCCACCAGAGTCAACAGAATTTCAAGCCCCGGTGACCCCAAAGCTCAGCATTGCTCAGTATGTGTGTGTACTCCAGATAACACCCACAAAGGGTCTATGTGCTAATTAGCCCTCACTCATGACTGGAACCAGGTGTTCTTGTCACAAGTCCTGGCACACTCCAAAAATGTATGTACAGATGAGGGAGGCACAGGGCAACCTGATCTAGCTCCACTTCATAGAAGGCAGGGCACCACACTAATATGTAACAGGCTGAGAGAAAGCACAACAGAGGGATTCTGGATGATCTGTTTGGGGCCACATTTCATTACATTTGCCAGGCATTTAAGGCTGGTGAAGCAACAGGAATCAGTAGAAATGTGAAATAAAGGTGCAGTTCAGCTGTGGGAATGAAGAGGAAGTAAAAATGTATGCAATATAGTGGCTCACTATGACTTGAAAGAGCTGGCAGTGAGGAGCATTCCACTTAATGGACACTACCACATATTGTATTCAGATAGGCTGTATTCATCTATCCTTTCGTTAGGTTCTAATCAGCATATCTGCCCAATGTGGGCCATGTGTTTTATAGTGGTGCTCAGTGTTGGCTGCATTTAATTAACTTCGTAATTGGTTTCTGTAGTTGAGCACATACTGTTTTGTCTACTGTTAAACTGCTGTCAATGTGTTTCATGAAACCTCCTTGTATGTGGTAACATGAGGGGCTTTTTTCCCCGTAATTGGCATCTGGGAAGAAAATTCATCCTGTATTTTAGTAAATACAATATTTAAAAAAGCTGACAAAAACAAACTTAAAATTGAAACTATTAAGTAAACTTGAAGAATTTGAGAGAGTTTAACAAAAACAATAGGCAATTACATTTTGTATCTCATCAAATTTCTAAATGCGTCAGGTTTGAATCACAGATTACGGTCCTAAGGACGTGCTTTGGGTCACAGACACAGTAAATCAGAGCTGCATCAAGATTACTAACCTTAATTTGTTCCATTAAGATTGCATTTGTTGCTTCTGATTCACGAAGTAATCCATTCAAATGATCAGCACTCTTTGTTGTTGTGTTCAGCTTCTGTACTAGCTCTTCCTTGCTGAGCTCAGTTTGCCATGAAGGTGGTTCTGCAATTTCATTTTTCAAACAATTACTCTGTAGTAAGGAGAAATCACTAGTCCTAATGACTCAAGGTCATTCAGAGTTACAGAGGACACCAAGACCTACTAATAAGAAACTATAAATGGTCAGATTTCACAACCACCACCAATTTCACTGATAGTCTTGCTGATATCAGTGGGCTTGTGATATTTTTGTGCACTCACATAAACAAATGAAAAACAAGTACCAAAAAGAACTCCAGAACCAAAGTTCAAGGGGCCTCATGGGCCATGTTAGGCTCTATCAAAATATGTTGTACTGTTAACAATGTCTTCCATTATCTACATTCTTAATTTTTTCCTCAAGAAACATCTGATGACCCCCTTGCTATCTCTTTATTAGTAGCTGCTTGCTATATATTTTCTCCACTTCCCTACTTGGTGAGACCTCCCCACAGCAAAGTCACAGTTATCAACCTTGGACTGTATTTTCCCGAAAAAGGAATGGTGAGCTCAAAAAAGACGCTGGTGATCTCCAGATCTCTTTGAGCTATTTTAACATTAAGGCAAATGGAAGTTTTGTTTTCGACTTTCATAGAAAATGTATAGAAATAAAACAGACCCCTAATGCAGCATTGAGCTGTCCTTCCTTTCCATATGCACAGTTCCTCCAACTACTTATCTGCTTACTCATCATCTGCTCTGCTCCTCACTGAAATTCTACATGTAGGAGATGGACATTTAAGAAAATCTTGGAAGCCAGAACACACAGAGCTAGCAATATTTAGACAGTGGTCCCTCTTCAAATAGATAAAAGACTTGTAAAAGGAATCCAAGTCCATATCTCAAATTTTTTTGGACTATTCTCAAATTTCAACCATTTCCTGGAATAGTAATGGTTACTCTGGCAGCAGTGTCCAAACACCAGGAAAAAAGGAAAGTAGGAATGGAGAGGAAGAAGGTGAAAAGTACCTCAGGGTGACAAGACAATTTTTTTTTTTGGCACCGTATTAGTGTACCAAGTCATGTTAATTCCATTTTAAATCGTTATCTACTTTAAAGTAGCCTAAATGATTTTCTTACCAGCTTTTGCTTCAGGAGAATTAAGAAGTTGTTCCAGTGATGGTATGTGAGTACTGGCAGAAGAAACTGACTCTGTGTCAGTTGTTTCCATTCCTTCTCCCTCTTCTCTAGTGACAGTGTGCATATCAAGAAGGAGGAGGTCAGTGTTGTTTCTCCGTTCTCGCAAGTTCTTCACAGGTAGGCTTGAAACAGCTGGCCCTGAAAGAGAAATTATTTCTGTTGGTGTGCATCAAAAAGAAAAAAAAACTGTGCTATTTAGGTGTGGTCATGCAAGACTAACTCAATTTGATACTGAGGAGGAAATCAGAATGGAAGACTGCATACTGTACAAGTGGCAGAATAAAACCAATCCTCACATAAGGAACTCATTTATTCTCTAAAAACAAAAAAATAGAGCACATTTCACAGTAAAACTGCCTTTCACTTCATCTCCATTCTAAATTAAGCCATTATTAACAGCAATTTAAAGAGGTTTTCAGTGCCCCTTTGAAACCAGGACCATCCCTGGAGGGGGGCAAATTGGGGCGATCGCCCCGGGCCATGCGCTTTGGGGGCCCCCGCAGAGCTGGGCAGAGCAGCAGCGGTGACTCTGCACTGCCACTGCTTGCTTTGCATCCAGCCACCCTTTGCATCTACCCCTCCCCGCACCACTGACACTGTCCATGGCGGCAGCAGCTTCTTCAGGTCTGGGGCGTGGGGACTGGAGCGGGGGCGGGGCCCCACATGGGCTGATTTGCCCTGGGCCCCGCACCCTGCTTGGTTTGGCTCTGTTTGAAACAAATATAATTGCCAGGAACAATACTGAGCGGGTCAGGAGACCATCAGGCTCTTGGTAAGAGGGCTAAGGAGCTTGGAGCACAAGTGGCACTCTCATCAATCCTTTCCCTGGAAGACAAGAGCCCAGTCAGAGACCACTGAAGTAAGCCCAGGCAGAGATCATGGAAGTAAGCATGTGGCTGAGACCGTGGTGTTGGCTTTGGATTCTTTGACAACAGGTGGATGTTCTGGGAAGGACTGCTATAAGAGAAAAGATCCATCTGACCAGAACTGGAAAGAGCATTTTTGGGCATTGTCTAGCCAGTCTAGTAAGGAGGGCTTTAAAGTAGGTTCTGCAGAGGATGGGGTGAACAAAACCCTCCAGCAACAGAGCATGTTATACAGAGGGGAAAGGACTGAAAGCAGCAGCTCAGCTCTGGAACAAGGCTAGAGAGCCACAGGACAGCAAAAGGTGATGCAAAAGGGAAACAAATAGGTTAAAATGCATCCAATTTATGTAAACAAATGCAAGAAGTATGGGGAATAAACAAGAAGAACTGGAAATCACAGTCTATGAGAACTATGATCCGATTGGTATCAGAGACCTGGTGGGAAAGTTCTCATGACTGGAATGTCAACATTGAGGGCTACGCTTTGTTTCAGAAGGACAGGGTTAGGAGAAAGTTGGTGGTGATGCCTTGTATGTCAAACACATTCACTTGTTCCTTGGTTCCAGAGAAAGAAGCTAACAGAGCAGAATGTGGCAAAGGTGATCATGGAGTCCTTGGCAATAATATTTATGAAGTCATGGGAGACAGGCAAGGTATAAGAAGACTGGAAAGGGGCCCGTATAGAAACCCTCTTTCAATAAGGAGGACCCGAGAAACTATAGACCAGTTAGCCTCATCCTCAATATCCAGGAAGTTACTGGAGCATATCCTAAGAAAGTCCATTTACAAGCATTTGGAGGAGGAAAAGATGATCATAAGCAGCCAGCATGGATTTACTAAGGAGAAATTGTGTCAAACAAACTTGATTTCCTTCTCTGACAAAGTAACTATTTGGGCAGATGAAGGGAATGCAGTTGATATATTGTGTATCTGGACTTCAGCAAGGATTTTGACAAGGTCTCACTTGATCTTCTCATAAACAAACTGGAGAACTGTTGGGTAGACAAAACTACAAGGTGGATAGACAAATGACTCAACAACTCTGAGCAAAGGTAGTTATACATGTTAGAATGGCAGGAGGTTTTGAGGGGAATCTCACAGGAGTCTGTTCTGGGTCCAATGCTATCTAACATATTTATTAATGATTTGGGTGCTGGCATAAGAAGACTTTTTGAGCCAATTTGCAAATGACACAAAACTGGGAAAGACTGCAAACATGTTGGAGGACAGGAACGGAATTCAGAAAGATCACGACAGTTTGGAAAGCTGGGCTGGAACTAACAGAATGAAGTTCAATGTAGACAAGTGTAAGGTTCTATATATACCTCAGGAAGAATAATCAGAAGTACAAGTACAAGATGGGTGACACCTGGCTGGATGGCAGCACTACAGAGAAGGATCTGGGAGTATGGGTAGATCACAGAATTAATACGAGTGTGCAGTTTGATGCAGCTGCACAAAAGGCGAATATGGTTTTGCGATACATCCACGAAAGCATTAGGTTCAAGACATGGGAGGTGATAGTGTTTTTCTACTTGGCACAGGTTAGGCATTCTTTAGCGTACTATGTGCAATTTTGTGCTCCATATTTTAAAAAGGAGCTGGAGTAATTAGAGAGTGTCCAGAGGCAGGTAACAGAAGTGATAAAGGGCTTGGAAGGCAAGTCATAGAATAAGAGGTTGAAGGAAATAAGGATGTACAGTTTGCAGAAAAGATTCTTAAGAAGGGACATGATAGCAATCTTCAAATACCTGAAAAGCTGCCATAAAGAAGAAGGAAAATAGCTTCTCTCTCTTGCTGCCAAGACTAGGACAGTCCAATTGCTTGAAGCTGCAGTAAAGTTTTTCCTGATATCCAATCTAAACTTCCTTCTTCGCCGGTAGAACAGTGAGGTGGTGGACTAGATTGCCTAGGAAAGTTGTGGACTCTCCATCATTGGACGTGTTCAAGAAGAGGCTGGACAGGCATTGATCAGGATGATCCAGGAATAGCTATGCCTATATTCTAGGAAGGTTTGGATAGTGATGATCCTGCCTCAGGCAGGAGGTTGGATCTAGAAGATTTCTGAATGGGTGTTGTGAGCTGATGGGGGTCATTGCTGTGCCCTTGGCCCAGCTGTACGAGCGATCGTGGTCCATGGGCCAGGTGCCCAGAGACTGGAAACTAGCTAATGTGGTCCCCATTTATAAGAAAGAGAGAAAGGAAGACCTAGGAAACTATAGGCCCATAAGCCTCACATAGGTTTTGGGGAAAATCCTTGAAATAATTATCAAGGATTACATCTGTGAGGGGCCAGCAGGGGAGATCATGCCCAGGGGAAATCAACATGGGTTCATCAAAGGCAGGTCCTGCCAGACCAACCTGATGGTGTTTTACAACCAGGCAACTAAATCCCCGGATGATGGTGTTGCTGTGGACGTAGTCTTTCTGGACTTTAAGAAGGCCTTTGACACTGTCTCTTACCTCATTCTCATTAATAAATTGAGCGACTGTGACATTGATGCCTACACAGTTGGATGGGTCAAAAATTGGCTGAGGGGGCACACCCAGATAGTGGTGGTGGACAGGTCATACTCGACCTGGCGGGATGTGAATAGTGGGGTCCCCCAGGGGTCAGTTCTGGGGCCTACACTGTTCAACATCTTCATCAGTGACTTGGATGAGGGGGTGGAAAACACACTGTCCAAGTTTGCCAATGACACCAAGATGTGGGGAGAGGTAGGCACACTCGAAGGCAAAGAGAGGCTGCAATAAGATTTAGACAGACTACAGAAGTGGACGGATGGTAATAGGATGGGCTTCAATGTAGATAAATGCAGGGTGCTGCACCTTGGGAGAGGGAATCCACAGCACACATACGAGCTGGGGAGCTCCTCCCTTGAGAGCACAGAGGCGGAAAGGGATCTTGGAGTCATTATTGACTCCAAGATGAACATGAGCTGCCTGCCAGACCACAGCCAGCAAAGCCAACCGCACCTTGTTGTGCATCCAAAGATGCATCTCAAGCCGGTCCAGAGAGGCGATACTCCCCCTCTACGTGACGTTGGTCCGGCCACAATTGGAGTACTGCATCCAGTTCTGGGCACTGCACTTTAAGAAGGATGTGGCCTGCCTTGAGAGGGTTCAGAGGAGGACCACCCGCTTGGTTGGAAGGCAACAGGGCAGACCCTATGAGGAGAGGCTGAGGGATCTGAACCTGTTCAGCCTCAGCAAGCGGAGGCTGAGGGGGGATTTGGTGGCTGCGTACAAACTCGTTAGGGGAGATCAGCAGCAAATAGGAAGGGTCCTATTCCCCGCAGCAGCACCTGGGGTGATGAGGAACAATGGCCAGAAGCTGCTGGAGAACAGGTTCAGGTTAGAGATTAGGAGGCACTATTTCACTGTTAGGGTGGCTAGAATCTGGAACCAACTTCCTGGGAAAGTAGTCCTCGCTCCTACCTTGGGTAAATTCAAAAAGAGCTTGGACGAGCACCTGTCTGGGGTCGTGTGATCCCAGCCTGTGCTCCTGCCAGTGGCAGAGGGTCAGTCTAGATGATCTGTTCAGGTCCCTTCTGACCCCAAACCACTATGAAGGTCCCTTACAGCCCTACTTCTCTATGATTCTATGCTGTAACAATCTTAAAAAAGTCTGGGGAATGAGACTGACAGGAGACTGCCCACCTTTTCATTACACATACAGATACTTTGCACAGTGGTTCCACTTATGAACCAAATGGTATTCTTAACCTAATCTGTGGGTGGGCAAAATGCTGGATCTGGCCAGGAGCCTGACTCCATTTCCCAGCAGTGCCCCCCTGTGCGTCCCCTGGGCAGTCTCACTGGAGACCCCAGGAGTGACTGGGTTGACAGCACGGAGCCACAGAACCGAACCCTAGCCCCGTGCTGTCAGGGCCCCTTGCTCCCAGGGTCTCCATGGAAACCAGCCAGGAGCAGCGCGGGCAGGGCAGCGAGCTGCACATGGGGAGCTTGTGGTGGTGACAATGCAGGGCCAGAGCCAGGGCAGAGCCGCAATCCGCTCCCTGCATGCTCCTGCCCACAAAACCCATGCTCATAACAGGGGCCTGTAAGTGTAGATCGTGGCTCTGCCCTGGCTCCAGCCCTACACTGTCACCACCCCTGTCCTCACCCATCTTACTCCTGGCCATGGCCCCACCCCAGTTGATGGGCCATATGCTTTTCTCCTGGCAGTGGGTGTGGGCAGCGGGGCTGGTCCAGTGGCAGCAGCCAGAAGAAGCTGCTGCCACAGGGGCTGCTGGGAAATGGAGTCCGCCATGGTCTGGCCTTTGCCCACCCTGATCTAAATCTGCCAGTCTTGCCAGCAGAAGTCACAACAAAGCAATGCTCATTAAATCACTCCCTTTTTACCCAATGCACATGCTGAAGTATAAAGGGAGGATGCTGTTTTTACATGATGAAAATACAGGTTGTGGGTTTAGTTTTTAACTTTCAAAATACTAAGTATTTCATAGGGCACTATTCATTTAAGATAACTGTACTTGGTTTATGTTAAAATAACAGTGATGAGATTATATTATGTAGCATTTCAATTTAAAAACTGAACATATAGGATGTTAGTGCATGTGGAAGTTGTATATTGACAGTTGGAGATACATGGTGACAGAAAAATACAGTATAGGAAGAAGCAATACAAACACAATGCCCTATTTTCTGACCTCAGTGGGCCTAGAACCTGAGCTGGGGAGACCCCCTCTAAGCATAATTAGCAGCTCTCCCTTCCAGAAAGCAAGCTTCAAAATTATTTATTAAGACTGACAACAAAAGGGACAATTTTGATTATCTTTATAATTTCATGACTTTTTCTCAGAGTCTAACTGAAACCTTTAGCTCATGAAACATCAAGGTTACTAAAAAACAAAAACATTAACCAAAAAAACCACAAATACCACATGGTACCTACTGACTTAGTTTATGAAATGCCCAGCGACCTTGAGCTGAAAGGCTTTTCCTTTGTTACTAAGTCTTTTGGCTACTCTGTATCTTTACTCCTCAGTAAGTATAGGTGTCTGTTTGTTTTAAATTTAGAAAGACCTTCTTATGAAATGTGGCATGTGTGCCTTATGAAACAGGCACACATGCCACATTTATTACTGCTGAAGCAAATATTTTGGGTTTGGTTCAATGTGTAAGAATGTACTAAATATAAGTTTATTACATACTATCATGTCAGTTATGGTTGCTTATTTTATATTTGTGTGTGTGGAGCTAGCACTACAACAGATTTGCCCAGTGAAGTTGCATCACCTGTTTATACACCCATCTTCAGCTTACCATATTTTGGAAGTAGAGTGGCCTCTTCAAAATCTGAGAAAAATGGGCAGGGACAGCATCAAACAGCAGGCGAATGATTTCTCCCTTTCCTCCCCATAACAAACAATTCTGTGTTACTGAAGAAATACACTGAGCTAACTCATAGAAAGTATTGGTTCCTGTGTTTACCATTTTATATGTAAAAGTACTTGGGTACCACTTGGTAACATACCTAAAGGATTTGAGATGTTTGCACAAGTATTATGGAGCTAATACAGAAACAATGAATGTAGATGTATTAAAAAAAAGTTGTTTGGGGTGCACTGCCTGTACAAAACACAGAACTTACCTCTGGTGCTAGGTTCATTTTTGAGTTGGAAGACCTGGGACTCTACCTTGGACAGCTGCTGCTGCAATGTTTCTACTGTCTTCCTATGCTCTTCCTGCAGATGCCGGACTTGATCTCTGAAGCTGTTCCGAAGAGCTTCATTCTGAGCCGTGAGCTGATTCATAGCCTGTGCATGCTCTGACTTCATGACTAAGTTCTCAGACTGTATTGTGCAGAGTCTGAAAAGTGTGTGTGTAAAAGAAGCATTAACAATTAGAACACTGTGGTCTAATCAGACTGAACAAAAGACAAGAAACCAGCACCTCCCTCTGTTATCCAAAGCATTAAAACAGGTAGAGATGGGAAAAAGCTGACCTTACATCCCTCTGAACAAAAATTAACCTTAACTACAGAAAGGTTCTTGCTTTGATACAAAAGGAATAGAACCCCAGCACAGAGATTTATTCTGTGCCTGAAGTGCCATCAGGAGAGCAGGGAACAGAAAGAATAATGCAGTGACAGTCAGCCGTTCCAAAAGCATATCATGCTGTAGTCTGACTAGAAAGAGGTTTGACAGTACTACATGGGGAGGAAAAAGGGTAAGAATGGATATATGCTCAAGTCTCTTTGGTTGCGTCCAGATGTGCGTGGACATTTGGTTGCCTGGGGACAAGTAGTGGCCGTGCACCTTGTGCCGCCACTACTTGTCCCTGGGGAATGCCCGTGCGATGCACACTTTGGCATGTGGCAAGTTACCTCGGGTGAGGTAGGGGAGGCTGGGGCCAGCACTGTGTTGGCCCCAGCAGCCTTACCTGGGGCCCTACGGGCCTCCTGGGGCTGCACCCATGGTGATTCTGCCAAGTGGAGCCTGGTTGGCAGCAGAGCATGGCTCCAGCAGACCTGGCCCTGCTTTTCAGCAGCATGCACTGGCCGAACATGCATTGCTCCCAGTTTTTTTTCCTGAAGCTTTTTTGATCCCTGGATATTCAAGGGTCAGAAGAAAATCCCACGGAAAAAAAACCCAGTGCAGCACATGCTTGGCCAGCAAACCCTTGCAGCCTGGAGAACACCAGACTGTGCAATATGTGGTGCTGCATATGTGTTTGTAGCACCACATACCGCACGACTGCGCTCACCTGGATGTGCCCTTACAGAGGAAAAAGATACCCATATAACTATCAGACATATTAAGAATAAAAATGCTAATTTTGAAAGACCCAAATTATGGTCTGTGGGAAAGACATGCTTAGAATGTTGTCTACCATATGAAGAACACCAGGTAGATCTGAAATTACAATGATGGATTTCCTATCACTGTGATAACTAGAAATTTCAGCTTTTTTCCTGTTTTTATCGTCTGGACACAAGTGATGGTTGGGAGACATGGTTCAGAAAAGCAGACTTCGACTAGTTCAGGAAACTCATGGGCAGGATCCTTTGGGAAGCCAGACTGAGGGTGAGAGGAGTCCAGGAGAGCTGGCTGCACTTCAAAGAAGCCTTACTGAGGAGTGCAGGAACAAACCATCCCTATGTGCAGGAAGACTAGCAAGCATGGCAGAAGACCAGCTTGGCTTAACAGGGAACTCTTCAGTAAACTAAATCACAAAAAGGAACTTTGTAAGAAGTGGAAAGTTGGTCAAATAACTAGGGAAGAATATAAAAGTATTGCTCGGGCATGCAGGGATAAAGTCAGGACGACCAAAGAGCAATTGAAGTTGCAGCTAGCAAGGGATATGAAGTGTAACAGGAAGGGTTTCTACAAGTATGCTGGTAGCAAGAGGAGGATCAGGGAAAGTGTGGGTCCCTTACTGAATGGGGGAGGCAACCATGTGACAGAGGATGCAGAAAAGGCTGAAGTACTCAATGCCGTTTTTGCCTCTGTCTTCACAGGCAATGGCAGCTCCCCAACTACTGCACCAGGGAGCAGTTTGGGGAAGAGGTGAACAGCCCTCAGTGCTGAAAGAACAGGTTAGGGACTACTTAGGAAAGCTGGACATGTACCCCAGGGCCAGATGGGATGCATCCGAGGGTGCTGAGGAAATTGGCTGATGTGATTGCAGAGCCATTGGCCATCATCTTTGAAAACTCAGAGTGATCAGGAGAGGTCCTGGGTGACTGGAAAAGGGCAAACAGTGCCTATATTTAAGAAAGGGAAGAAGGAGGGATCCAGGGAACTACAGTCAGCCTCACCTCAGTCCCTGGAAAAATCATGGAGCAGATCCTCAAGGAATCTATTTCTAAGCACTTGGAGGAGAAAGGCAATTAGGAACAGTAAGCATGGATTCACCAGGGGCAAGTCATGCCTGACCAACCCGATTTCCTTCTATGACTAAATGCCTGGCTCTGCGGATGAGAGAAGACGGGCAGATGTGGTGTACCTTGATCTTAGCAAGGCTTTTGATACGGTCGCCCACAACATTCTTTCAGGCAAGCTAAGGAAGTCTGAATTGGATGAATAGACTGTAAGGTGGATAGAAAACTGGATGGAGCATTGGGATCAGAGAGTAGTAATCGATGGCTCAATGTCTAGTTGGCAGCCGGTATCAAGTGGAGTGCCCCAGGGGTTGGTCCTGGGGCCGGTTTTGTTCAATGTGTTCATCAACGACCTGGATGATGGGATGGAACACACCCTTAGCAAGTTTGTGGATGACACCAAGCCGGGGGGGGAAGTAGTCAATACACTGGAGGGTAGGGTAGGGCTAGACAAATTGGAGGATTGGGCCAAACAGAATCTCATAAGACTCAACAAGGACAAGTGCAAAGTCAATCCCATGCACCAGTACAGACTGGGGGCTGACTGGCTGGGCAGCAGCTCTGCAGAAAAGGACCTGGGGGGGAGGGGGTTGTTACAGTAGATAATAAGTTGAACATGAGCCAGCAGGGTGCCATTGTTGCCAAGAAGGCTAATGGCATACTGGGCTGCACTGGTAGTCGTGTTGCAAGTAGCTCAAGGGAAGTGATTATTCCCCTCTGTTCAGCACTGGTGAGCTCACATCTAGAGTACTGTGTTCAGTTTTGGGTCCCCCATTACAGAAAGGATGTGGACAAATTGGAAAGAGGCCAGCAGAGGGCAACAAAAATGGTGAGGGGCTGAGGCACATGACTTCTGAGGAAAGGCGGTGGGAACTGGACTGACAGAGGATTTAATAGCAGCCTTTAACTACCTGAAGAGGATGGAGCTAGACTGTTCTCAGTGGTGGCAGATGACAGAACAAGGAGCAACGGTCTCAAGCTGCAGCACGGGAAGTTTAGGTTAGATATTAGGAAGAATTTTCTGACTAGGAGGGTAGTAAAACTTTGGAACAGGTTATCCAGAGAGGTGGTGGAACCACCATCCTTGGAGGTTTTCAAAACCCAGCTAGACAAAGGTTTGGCTGGGATGATCTACTTGGGGATGGTCCTGCCTTGAGCACGGGGTTGGACTAGATGACTTCCTGAGGTCCCTTCCAACCCTAACTTTCTATGATTCTATGGTTGGGATTAGCAGGAGGGTTCACTTGGGTGGAGGTTCGGGCAGGGAGGAAGTGGCTGAAGGAGGGCTGGGCAAGGAGCACTGAAGTTCACCAACTTTGAGTACTGTATGGGGAATCTTTTCTTTGAGTTGTTTATTATAAGCCTCTCTGAGTCTTTTGGATGGGGCAGGATATAACAGTAATAAATAAATATATTTTCTATTGGAATAATTACATCTTAAGAGTACACAGAACTTAGATATAGTGAGCTTCAAAGAAAGATAATCTTACAAAAACGTAGAGATTTAAAATTCCCAGTTTGCTCCCATCCAGTTCCCAGAGCAGAAGCTCCAGAAGATTGGCAAGTAGCTAGCAGCCTTTTTGCTATATTCCTCTGACTTCCCACATACAATTAAATCATTTTCATAAATTCATCAGCTCAAGTAAAGAACGATTTGGCACTAGCTGCATGTTTAGCGATACACTGTATCTGATCATTTGAGAATCTTACTTTTCTCGGAGTTCTGCTTCTTTTGCAACTGTCTCCTGCAGCATTTTATTATGTCTTTCCAGCAGGGTGTCATGTTCAGACTGCAATGCTTGGAGTTCAGTTACATTGATTTGTAAATTATTCTGGGTATCTTGTAACTTGGTTTTTAATTGGTTTATCATCATTTCCAAATGTTCTCTAAAGGAAAAAAAAGTATACACATTATTATATTTCAGAACTTCTATTTATAATAGTAGTATGGGCAACTTACCAGAGCTGAATTAATTTCTTTCATTACACTAAGGCAGGGGTAGGCAAAATATGGCCTGTGGGCTGGATCCGGTCGGTCAGGCACTTTCATCTGGGCCACAGTGGCCCCCCAACTAATTGCACCCTGCCCAGTCCTTCCACCCACAAGGGTGGGAGTGAGGTGCCCACATGTACAAGCCCCCAACATACTCTATTGGGCCTCGCTCCCACTCTCGTGGGTGAAGGGGCTCTGCCCAGCTAGCAGCTTCTGGGCAGGGCTCCTGCTGCAGCCAGAGCCTGCTCGCTCAGGGCAGCAGGTAGGGAAGCGGTGGGGCTGGTGGGGTGGGGGGGTGGAGTTGCAGCTGGGCGGAAGTGGGAGCGCAGCACAGAGCTAGCACTCAGAGGGGCAGCGGGAGCATAGAGTTCAGCTGGGTAGGGTGTGGGTGTGAGGGTTGGGGGTGTATGGACCCCACCACACTCTCCTCATGGTATGCAGCCCCCGTTGCGGACAATAGCAGCAGGCAGGAAGGTGAGGGTGTTCGTGCCTGGCACAGGCGCCTGGTGGGCTGCAGCTCTGGCCAACGCTGCGTGGGAGGGAGTGGAACCTGCCCTCCCTATTGCTGGAGGTCTGCGCTGCGTGCCTGCAGCTGCAACACTCGCAGTGGGGGAAGCCCTGCACTAGAGCCTACTGCCTCCCCTGCCCCCTGCTAGGTGGGTCCCCACACTCTGCTGGGAGTGGAGGGAGCCCTGTTGCCTACTTCCCCACAGAGTTCAGCACAGGGCTTGCAGTGGGGAAGGTTGGAGCTGCAGGCACGTAGTGCAGAGCCCCTGGGATAGAAGCGGCCAGGCAGGCTGTGTGGGGTGTCCCTGCCCCCAGCACAGTGCTGGCCACCTCTCGGGTCTCCGCCTTGCGTGCTGCAGCTCCACACTTGCAGCGGGGAAGCCCCGTGCTGGACTGCACAGGAAAGCAGGAGGTGGGGCTCCCTCCACTCCCGGCGGAGTGTGGGGATCAGTGCAGCAGGGAGCAAGGGAGGCAGAAGGCTCTAGTATGGGGTTTCCCCCACTGCAAGTGCTGGAGCAGCAGGCACGTGGCGCAGAGCCCCAGTGATAGGGCAGGCTACACTCCCTCCACCCTTGCAGCACTGGCCAGAGCCATGCCTGCGCTGGGCATGAGCACCCTGATGTCCTCACCTGCAGCTGCTGGCAGGCAGCAGGGGCTGCATGCCATGGGGAGGGGTGGGGGGGGTGGAAGGTCCCTACACCCCCCTTCCTCCCCTTCACACCCACACCCTGCCCTCACACCCCCTATCAACATATACATACACCCCAACACACCCTATACCCCCCTACACAGCAACACCCTCTCACAACCCCCCCCACATACTCCCACACCCCACCATACACATACACACAATATGAAAGAGTGAAACTTTATTTTTGAGTTATTATGCAATCCCTTCTATATACAGTATACAATCACAAGTCATGACAAATATTTCTTGTAATAAAATTAAAATATATTATAGTAGGAGTTTGAATTCTAGTGTATGATTTGTTTTTTTCTGATTCTAAGATGGCAACCCCACTCCCAAAAGGAGTAGGGGCGGGGGCAAGGGGAGGCAGCAAGGGAGGGACTTCTGGTCCCAATGTGGCAACCACAGGGCAGGGCAACTGTCAAGGGATGGGGCAACCTATGCGGCCCTCGACAGTTTGCCAAAACTTGTTAAACGGCCCTCCGCCCAAAATAATTGCATGCCCCTGCATTAAGGCTAGATACACAGTCAAAAAGCCCAAGGTTGAATCGATTCAATCTTCACAGGTTAGTCTAACCTGTGTGAACTGAACTGAGAAGCAAGTAAACAGACACTGACTTCTGATTCTGGAAATGCAGTCGCATGCATGTGGTGACCCAGGCCAGAAGCTGGGGGGAGCTAGAGAACGTCTCCCAGCCAGCAGGCCACTGCCAAACAAAAAGAAGGAAAGCTGAGAGATAAAGTAGCCCGCCCTGGGCCCCACACTTTGGGGGGCCCTGCAGACTGGGGCAGAGGCAGAGCAGTGGCAGTACGCAGCAGTGGCTCCACGTCCAGCTGCTTGCTACCCACCCCACCATTGGTAGCATCAGCTTCTCTGGGTCCAGGGCCCAGACTGGAGCGGGGGCGGGGCCCCGCATGGGCTGATTTGCTCCAGTCCCCGCACCCTGGTCAGGTCAGCTCTGGAGGGAGGCATGACCAGCCCCCATCTGGCCTTCTGAGTATGATGGGGGAGGCAGTTTAAACCCTGGCGAGGGTCCCATGTGGGTGGGGGAGGGCTGAATCCCCCCACCTCAGCATGCTGACCTGACCCAGGCGTGGCCCGGCCTGGAGCAGTGATAGTTCTCTGGGAGTAGAATGGTGGGGCCAACCCTGCTCCACTGGAGCAGACAGTACAGCTCAGGGCTGTAAAGCATCCTGGGATGCTGGAGGATTGTGAGTTAACTGGAACTGGGAAGGGGTCTTAGAAAGAAGTTCCATAAACCAGTTTGACCTAAATCAGTTTGGTGTGATACTACATCTAACCAGGTTTATCTTAAACCACTTTCAGCCATTTTGAAAGTGGTTTAAGTGAATTGAACTTCTGTTGTGTTACAGATTTGAACCAGTTTCTGAGTGATCACTTAAATGGGTTTGTGTATAACTTCTGTCCCTAGCCTAAATGATAGGAAAGACATGCTAAAAGACCTCAGTTAGAATACTGTAACCTTAGTCAGACAACATGCACATCCATTTGTGGCATGGCAGGACGTGTGACTGCATGGATCACGCTTCAGATCCCACTGTGCCTCTATCTGCACATATGGTTGGGGTCTTAAAACTCAGAAAAACAAGCCTTAAAAGATGTACACCCCCCCCCAACACACACATGCGTGTTGTTCTGCTGAGTGTCTTCACTAGATGCCTAACTCTAGCTTTCAAAGGAGTAACATGAAATACAAAGAGATTTGGATTCAGATTTTAGACCAGCCCTTGAATTTTCCTGACAATCACACATTGTTATTTCCATTCTGCCTTCCTTTCTAATGATTTTTCGTCATGTGAAAGACCCTATACAAACAAAATAACCTTGCCAACATTATATTATCATTTATACTACTGTAGCAACTTGGAGTTTTTTCATATGATGGATGCAACTTAAGCATAAAGATTCCTGTCTTTAAAGTGTGCTCTTAGATGTTACTTTTAACACTCAAAGCAGTAAAAATGTTTGGACTGAACTGGGATACACAAGTTAATTGCATCCTTTTGGTTTTGTCTGGGTAAACTGTTAACCCTTAATTAAAACGTTCTAAAGCCAAAGTAAGATGGTTCTCAAAAAAGCTAAACAAGAATCCTTACAAAGATAAATATTTCTTTCTTTCTCTAAGAAGGCTTCCAAACCCCTACCCTTTTATATAAGCAAGCATAAGACAGAAGTGTAATATACTAGAAATGTCACTTGTTTGATTTGACTAATTTTTGATTAAGGGAAATCAATAAATATAAATGTTTACCTTTCTTGCTTGGCTCCCTCAGTTTCAGTTTGAGAAGCAGATTTATTCTTTTGTTGCTTTAAAACATTATGAACACGGACTTTGTAACTTTCAAATTCAGAAGTAACAGTAGCGAGTTCTGCCTATAATGTAAAAAAGTAAACCCTACATAATTATGGAATTGACTAATATCCACTTACTGCTCTAAAACCAAATATCTCTGGCTTTTGGATTTATATGCATCTTACATTATAGAGTAAAAAATAGTAAAGTACCCATTGCATTTCATTCTTGTTTTGCTGGATGGGGAATTAAAATGACTAATATATCATGAGAGAGCTGGTTCATTTAGAATGTAATATTCTATAACTGGTAAGCAAAAACTTTTTGGTACAAAGAAGGTATTAAGGTTAGTCACAACAATTTGTCAGATAGCTTACAAATGCACAATTCTGTCAGATTCCTACAACTACAGCTAATACTACAAACAGTCATAATCAAAGTCCTTTAAAAATCTGAATTATTAAAAATAGCAAGCTCAAAGCAGGCAAATATGGATATAACACAGACTTCTTTTTCATTCTTAACACATAGCTTTCAAGTTAGTTATTCTTTCAGTATAGCAGACTTTTATTTTCAATTAAAATTATGCCAATGTTTTGTTTTTAATAAAAGAGAAAAAAATACACATTTTTGTCTTTGTAAAGGTACACTTCATTTTGTCATTTTTCTATTACAGTCACTTAACAAAGGCACTCAATTTTTGTTGATAAAATTTAACAAGGTAGCTTCATCTTCATGCATCATGCAGCAGGAAAAAAAAAAAAAAAAAAAAAATCACTCATCTGACAAGCACTGCTTATCCAGCGCTTAGTGTTGTTTGTACATGTTCTCTCTCTTAAGATACCACGTAAGTAAGATTTTCATTTATAGTTCGTAGCAGAAGACTGCAACTATGGAAATTTAATCTAATATTTTTAAATCCCTTGATAGCAGCACAGGTCCCTTTAGTGCATGTGACACACCATCCTCTGCTGAGTACAAACACATTCCTTTGAGCATTCCAGTCAGTCTCTCCTTAACTGCAGCTGGTGGTGAAGCTTTTGTGGAAGATGTACTTATTTATTTGATTATTTATTACATATTACACTTGTAGGCTGCCTTTCCTAACAAAGGCTCAGGGCAGCTTACAGATGAGAGCAAAATAACTTATAAAGTAAGTGAACAAGAGAAAAAAAATGGGAGAAACAAAATAACTTATTTTGTTCTGTAGCCAGTAGATTCTTAAGGTAACCTGCAGAGCCCGCCCCCCCCGCCCAAACACAATACCCCAGTTTTGCTTCATCTATTAAATCCCTGGTCAAACAGGAAGGTCTTGCACCATTTCTAAAAGATGTCCAAAAACTCAGGCTCTGGTGAGCCTCAAGGGGGAAGAAGTTCCAGAAATGAGGGACTACACAGATGACCTCCCACATGTTTCTGCCAAGCAAACTTGATGAATTGATGGTCCACACAAGAGGTGGCTCTTGGCTAACCTCAGGGATCACAAAGGGCATAAGAGACAAGGTGTTTCCCTTTAGGCATGTAGGCTTCAGACTATTTAAGGCCTTATAAGTAAAATCATCACCTTGAATTTTGCCTGGCAAGCCACTGAAGCACCAGAGTTATGTTCAACCCCTGTCAAATGGTGAGCTGCTGGTACCAGCTGCAGCTTCCAGACATCAACTGCAGCCCTACATTGCAGTAGTCTAGCTTCCAGATTATGAAGGCATGGGTGACTGTGGCCAAATTAGAAAGAAAGGGTTGTAGCCTTCTCTCCAGATGGAGCTGGTAAAAGGCACTCCTAGCTGCTGCTACCCCTTGATGATCCAGGTACAGCACATGATCCCATTCCACCCCAAGGCTGAGAAACTGAAGGACAAAGGGAAGCTAAATTTAATAATTTTTTGGTTAAGAAAGCCTCAACTAAGAGAATGCAGCAATTCCCCCTTCCACTCCCCCAGCCATGTAGACTGCCCACCAAAATCACCTCTGGATTCAGCTTCAATTGGTTCACCTGCATCCAATCTCCAAATGTAGTCAGATACTGGAAAAGGACACAGACTGTGGAGTCCAGGTCAAAAGAGAAAGACAGAGCTTGGTGTCATCAGCATACTGATGGCACCTTGCTCCATATCTCTGCATAATTTTACTCAGCAGCTTCAGATGTATGTTGAACAGTAGGATGGAGTCCTAGGGAACAACAAGCTCTCACCTATCACCACCCTCTAAGACTTTCCTGCTAGGAAAGAGCAGAACCAATTAAAAAGGTACCCTGAATACCCAGTAGGTTATGTAAACATCATCATCACCTCACAGTCAACTGTATCAAAAGCCACTGAAAGATCTAGCAAGAGCAGCAGGGTACAATTTCCCATCAATGTCTAAGTGAAGTGCATCAACCAACGGCACAGGTGCAATTTCTGCTATATTTGGGGTGAAAGGCAGACTGAGGGGTCTAGGAATAACATCCAGATGTGCATAAAGCTGTTGGACCTTCCTAAAGGTTCAATGATCTTCCTCAAAAAAGGATAGGTTGGAGACAGGGTGAAGGTATCAGGCAACAATTTCTAGGGTAAGGGCCAGACAACTGCAGACTTAAGAATATCTGGCAACCTGACCTCCTGAAGAAAAGCAGCACTCAAAAGCCCTTCTAGCAGCAGCCCCAGTTCCCTCAACAGACGTGTGCAAGCCAGCACAGACATGGGTCCAGTTCACCGCTGGTCACCTGCATCCCCTGAGCACATACTTTGCATCAGATGGTGACACCAATTGAAACCAATCCATATAAACTGGACAAGACAGATCCCAACCTTGAATTCTGACTCTGCAGGAAAAAGTAGTGGTGCCCAAGCTGTACTGAATAAGGGAGATTTTGTCTGCAAAGTAGATAGCAAACTTGTCTCAGCAGTCTATAAAAGACTATTTTCAGGTGGCAAACACCTGCATTAACCATACCATTCACCACTGAGACCAGTTCCACCAGAGGGCATTTTGCAGATGCAATGGCAGTAGAGATTAAAAGATTTTTTTTTGCCACAACTGCCATGCCTGGCCTTCAAGAAGGATCTATGCCACAATTAGCTGGATTCAGCATGGGATGAGACCCAGTTGTGTCCTACCACTTCAGCTGCATCAACTCCCCTAGATACTGGGGAGAACTATGCCACCAGTGCCACAGGAGAAGTAGATGCCCGTGCGCCATTGTGTCTTTGGCAGACGTCAGTATGCTATTCCATAAATCGACCAAGCCCTCCCCAGATTAGCTGCCAAAAGTCAGTGGGAATGTCCCTCAGAGTTCCAGAATTATACTAGCTTCATAAGTCTCCAGGGCTGGACCAACTTGTACCAGACTGCACATCATCAGGCATTCCTCCAGGATTTCTAGCTCTTGGAATATACCAATATCTTTTACCGATTCTTTAAGTTTCCTTCCAGTGAAGAACATGAGTTAGGAGTACTTCAACCTCACAGTATTTAATAGACTGTCTGAGGGACACTTGGTGCATCTTCATTCGCTCTGCTGTTTCTGCAGCAAATTTCTTAGTGGCTTATCTTTCATATTGGCTTCCCTTTTCTGTTGGCCATTCCTCAATGCCCATTTTTTGCACATATGGCATCCAACAAAGCAACACAGCAGTGAACCATGTTAGTGTAGATTTTTATCCAGGATGGCTTACTGCAGTGCCATGATGCAATTACCCATAACATGTAGAGCTGTGGAAGGGTAACATCTGTAGACTCTCACACCAAAGAAATGTGGCAAATAAAAAATTCCAAATCCTTCTAGAGGCAAACCAGTTACACTCCTGCAGGACTGGCTTCATAAGACTTCTCCCTGATGACCTGTCTAGCTGTTGGGAAAGTTCATTCAAGCTGCTAATGAATCAGTCATCTACCAGCAGGATCTACAGCTTTAAACCTGATGCAATAAGGTTCATATGAATTCCATTACTACTTCTACACAGAAACTGTTTTACTAGATCTAAGCAGGTAAAGGTAAAAAACTCACTTACTTCCAGGAATATCTGACATCTTTTTTAAACCATCATGAACTAATCAAAGATAGAATGGCACATCTCCAGCTCCTTGACAGTTTCATGCATTCTGACATTTCTGAAACCTCCAGTTAATAAGTCACTTGTATGATGGAATGCTAATGTTGACCTGACAAGAATACTTCAACAGAAGACTTCATCATACTATTCCTGTGAACTTACGTTTTTCAGGCTGAAGGTCATTTTCTAGATGGTAATTGAATTTTGCTGGGTGACTAAGCTTCAGTCCAAGTGAATAACACTTAAAAATTAATTATTCAGTAAAGATAAGGTAAAACTTTGGAAGCCACCAAGATGCTTCTCCAAAATGAGGTCAATGTTCCACCTTAATGGGCCTATCATTATCAAATAACTTTGTGGAGTCTGTCTGAAACTGAATAATATCTTTGCAAGCACCACTCAACTACTTTTTTTTTTAAAACAGTTTGCAGAATATTGAAGAAGATGATGTCTAAATGGGTATCTTAATGCATTCCATGTCATTAACCTGAAACTAGAAGGCTATGTCAACAATCTTTTGATTAGAAGCAAGGCTGCTGTCACATCTGGAATAGAAGTTTCTATTTCAAAAGATTCTACTTGAACTGCCTGCCATAAATCTACACAGTATTGTTGCTCAGTTTAGTTTCCTAAAATGCAAGAAATACAGTTTTGGAGTGTATTGCTCCAGAACTGATTTCCAAGGGAGAGAAGATAATGCTCAGTAATCCTGCTGTAGCTGTTTCCTTCCAGAAGGAAGCTGTTTCCTTTTGACTTACATCTGACTAATTTTATACTGCAAAAAGAACCAAATTCCTCTTTGCTTTTATGCTATACATGAGAGGATGGCAACCTTTTTGGGTAGTGTCAAAAACACCCGCAACTGTGACTTGTAAGATGTTGGCATACGAGGGGCGGACAGCAGGGGAGCCGCAAGGGGCCTGATCCTTGTTGTGGCAGGGTCGGGCCCGGCCTTCATCCACCCCAAGGCGTGCATGCCAAGCAAAATGCCTTTGCATGCCATGCTCTTTGGGCAGTTGTTGCCACCCTCCCAGCTGCCTGCCACAGCTGGCCCGGGCTCTGGGCAGGCTGCTGCTGCCATCCATGGAGCCCAGGCTGCTTGCAGTAGGCAGTGAGTAGGCTGCAAGCAGCTGCACCATGGTCCCTTGAGCCCCGGCCTGGCTCACTGCTGGTGGCAGGTGCAGGAGCAACTCAGAGCAGACAGCAGGAAAGGGACTGAGGCTGCACTGCCACAACAAGGATCAGCCCCTGCAGCTCCCCTGCTGAGTGGCCTGAGGCATGCATGCCAAGCAAAATGCCTTCACGTGCCACGCTCTGGCACACATGCCAGAGGGTTGCCTACCCCTGCTATGTGCTATTAACATGTACCTCTTCACATAGTTTTTTCACAAAGCTAGCACCTGTCTTGCTAGTTTTTGTTTGGTATCCAGAAAATCCTGCACAAATGATACCTTCAGAAAAATACAGCATATTCAATTTGTAAAATTTGCTTTTCTTGAAGATATCATCTTGTAGGACACTCACTCACACCCTCCTTGCCCGTTTCAGATGTTGGATGTTGTGGTTTGAGAGGCTATTTTCCTGTCTTTCGTTCTCCTTCAAGTGCATGCTAGTTGATCAACTTGAAGTGACTTTTCTTTCAGGGAGCTTCACCTCCAGTGCAGTGAAAGGCACCAACTGGAGTGTTCAGACAGCAACATTTATATTCCATAGATTGTGGTGCTGACAACCAGAACCAAGCCTGGTTTGCACTCTACCCTGGTCCTTCCGAAAAGGTCAAGCACATTACAAGAAAGGGGAATTCCTGCCAGTCATCTGCCACAGCACCAAGACCCAAGAGTTAGAATCCTCCTAGATGATAAGATATTGAGAGACAGAACTGCAAGGTAAGTAAATTTCTCTCCTAACTCATCTGACTTATTATTTTTGTTGTGAAAAAATACCTTTGCTGTACTGCATTCTTCTTGTAAGGTAGTAATTTTCTGCTGATAAGTGCTCAGCATTCGTTGATGTTGCTCTACAGATGTCCGCAGATGTTCCTGGACCTTGTGTTTTTCTGATGCAAGTTCAGCCACCTGAATCTAAAAATAAACAACTATCATTAAAACTAGAACTAAAATGTATATAAAATCTGATTTTAGAACAGCATGGAGAAACACACTGAACATAAGTACTGGAGCACATTTGAGCAGTAAAACATTTAGCATCAATTTTAATGTTCCTTAAAACACGGGGAAAATATATGCATACAAGAAAAATTAGAATGAATAACATTCCTTCCAAACTCATCATTAAGCGAAATCTATATTTTCTGTAACCACAAATTTATCATCTGGCAGAAAAATAGTAATTCAAATTTGTACTGATGAAAATGAACATTGGCATCTGCTGACTGTGTGTCTTTTTTGTTAAAAATCAAGTCTAAGTAGTGCCAAAAGTAGATTTTAAAACTGCATATTTTTCCTGGGTTTCAGATTTCCTAACCCTCTTCACAATGAAAAGACAAAAAAGTTAGAAAGCTAGATAAGAGCTGGACACTACAGGATTTTACTTTATTGCATCTTCTCTTTCACTACATCTTTCCATCAGGTGGGTAATACTGGAAGAGATTTAGCACGCTGGCCATACCACAGCACCTACAAATCTCATCTGTCACTGTTTCAAATGTGAGATACAAGGTGGGTATTTTGGTGATATTTTTATTGGACCAACTGCATGGCTAGGAAAGATGTTTTAAAAGCTTTTAGGCATAAACGGCTCTTCTTCAGGTCTCAACTGAAAAGTAACCTGAAGAAGGACACTTTGTGCCCAAAAGTTTATGTAACATCTCTCCCAACTATACAGCTGGTCCCTGCCTCTCAGTAAATGATATCAAAACCCCTTGTTTCTCATATATTTCCTGAACCATCATGGCTACAACAAAACGCCAACTCTATTATAATTTCAGTGGCTTTTCTGGCATTCTCTAAGTCTCAGAAACTCCCTGCTTTGTGGCAGGGGTTTACCTGTTATCTCCTCAATAGCTCTCATACTGCTTCTGTAGGCTCCAGAAATCCTGCAGCCTTTTCCCAAGTTGACCCCCATCTTTAACCCATGCAGGAATAGCTCATAGCTTGTCTGTCTTCCAGCAGCTGACTTTTCCTGCTACAATACAGAGTGGAAAACTACCCCTTTATTTCTGTTGTCTCTGCCCTTTCCTGAGACTCATGAAAACAGCAGTGTTCTCTCTCAGGATAAAGGGCTAACTCAACCTACCAGCTCATGACAGGTACAGCACACTCCATCATATCCCTACCCTTAATGGGGGAGGGGAAGAAGGGGCAGGCGAAAACTACACATAGCCAGACCAAGGATGGAATCTCTGCACCCTGTCATACCTCCTTTAAAAGTTACTGAGGTAATTACTCCAGAGCAACTCACTCCAGAGATGATGACATACCCTTTATTTCTTTGTGAAGGTTCTCTGAACCAATCCACATCTTCCTGGGTTGAGAGCTTCTGATGATTATTAGCTTCTGTTTCTTTGCTTGATGTAATCCAATAGGACTATATAGAACTGTTTAACTATATGCCATATCTCTAGATATAAAACACTATAACGTATGGGTCTAGAAACCACAGTCAAAATGTCTTTAAAAGGCTGTATTGTTACTGTTGCATTGGTGCATATGGTCAGTTCAGTCATGGGCATTCAATACCCTTCTGCTCCTAGAGGCAGGATCTCAACTTGGAGGTAAGTTGGTGAGGCCACTTTGGGAGAGTCTCTCTCCAACTGCAATCAAGACCTGCAATTTTGATGCACTGGAGAATGGTCAGTAGGAATGTCCCCCCAGGAGCCACTTCACCAGCATACTTCCAGATTGGCAACCTAATTGGAGGAATAAATTGGAATGGTGTACTGAAACAGCCTAGTTAGGACACGCCACTGTCACAATGCAGGTGCTCCCACAGAAATGCAGAATTATCTACAGCAGGAGAAATGGCTCGCAGAAATGGCTCGTCAGAGATAGATGCTAGGCACTGATCTGCAATTTACACTTAAAACTTTCTCTAAAGATCTGCACAGTTCCTAGCAGGGATACTGACCACAGTTCTATTGGACAGCTCCATGAGAACAATATCAACTGTACTGCAGGTGGCTGAAAGTGAAAAATAATCTTTTGCTCAAATGGTTATGAAGCAAAACCTAGAACTTCAAAGAAGAGAGGAAATACTGAGCTATTCGTGAATCTGTAACAAAAGGTATTCCCCTTGACTGAAAGAGCAAAGGTAACATTGAGATGCTAGGGCTGCTCAAAGGAAGCGAAGGCTTCAGAAGGAGAGATTTGAAAACTGAGCGACTGAGGCCTAGGACAGAGTTCTTGTCAAACCAAGGACCTGCACTGCAGAACTATGACATTTATTACTTAGCAGGATTGGCTACCTAATAAATCAACTGGTGACTGAAAGAATAATTTGACCTCTAGTAATATGCTATGTAGTTTCCCATAATGATGACAGCGATAACTTATGTTACAAAAAAGAACAGTAAATTCCAGAATAAGATTTATTCTCTGTTTCCCTCTTCAGGTAAATCCCACGGAGAAGAGGGGTATTTTAAAGTTGGATGGCAGTGGTATTATTTTTTGAGAAAACTGTGACAGATGAAAGCCAAATCATAAAGACCCTGGGGGGGGTTTTTGTGTCCGAGGGATGAAAAACAGGCAACTGAACTAAGAGCAATTTGGGTTGCAGCTGGAGAGATCAGAAATTGGAGTAAAAAGCTATTCAACCAGAATTAAAGGAGTAAATTTAAAATAATTTCAAAACAGAAGGAGAAAATCTGAGGAAAAATTTCAGATGAGTTTTTTTTAAAAAAAAAATCTCAAACAGTTAACAAAATCCATAAAGAAAGAAATATCTCCTATTATTTTGATGATGGGCCAAGTGCAACTGAATTCAACTAAATCTATGAATCTATGAATAAAGAAAAAGTGACCTCCAGAAAATGCTTTTGAAATTACTGCAAGTTGTACTCCTTTGTACAAATGCATTTTAACACTCTAATTACATGACCACTACATTTTCTACATGACCCCTACTTTCATTCAGCAAAGGAGAGCGCTACAGAAAGAAGAGGAATATTATCTTACAGGTAGGAAACTGGATTTAAGAGAACAGAGTTGTATGCTTGAATGTCAAACTTCTTTGGGCATGAATCTAGTAAGTCACTTAGACCAAGGTTCTCAGAAGTGGCTACCAATCATATATCACTCATGATGACTTGAGGCATCCAGGACCTGATAAGCATTAAGTTTTCATTCCAAGTGAGTTCCTTGGGGAATCTGCAGTTTCTCAATGCATCTACCAAAAGTACTCAACCCACAGGAATCTAAAAACGGGCGCTTAATCATTACGGTACCCAAAACAAACAAACTTTGCAAATATTTAATTTTATTTTTCTGTATGTCAGTATCCACACTTGGAAAACAGCTATAAAACAACCTTCAGATGCTTACCTCTTCCATTTGAATTAACAAGTATCTTAGCAGATAACAACAATAAGTATTCTGTTTGTGCAACAGTCACAAAGAACAGGCAACAACACAGAGATGAAGTGATATCCATTCACCAGCCAATACGTATATTTTGGAACCAGAGTAACAAAACAAATGCCTGCTACAGAAACATTCTACGTGAAGACCTGCCTTTTCTTTAACTTGGTATTTAAAGACCATCAACTAAATGTTTCTCTAAAAACATGGAAATATTAGTGTACTACATTAAATAAAGTATTTGAGAAAGTGGAGCAGATGGTGAGAACTAAAAAAAGACAACCAACAGAAAAGTCAATTACTGTATTTACTTGAATATAAGATGACCCTGAATATAAGACAACTCCCCCAATATTTAGATTCTATACATGGAAAATGTATAAATCTGTTATAATTTTCCAGATAAGCATTGGAGTATGAATTCCTCCCCCAGCATTGCTACAGCAGAGAAAGCAGTGGATGGGGGGAGGCGGTCAGGTGCTCCCCTTGTCCTCTGCTCTACCCACTTCTCTCCCCATGCAGCCTTCCTCCCCCCTGCCACCTGAACTCCCCACCTCAACTCCCAAACTCTCTCCCAGCCTCTTTCTCCCCTGCTCCCCAGTCTCTGCCTCTTCCCTCCAAACTTCCCCCCAGTCTCTGTCCCTTCCCCAATAACTCCCCAGTCTCTGACTCTGTCCCCCTCCTTTACTGTCAAATGCTGCTCCAACTGCGGAAGCTCAGCCCTTGCCTGGCCATGCAGCAGCATCGGCATTGCTGATAGGCCAGGCAGACAATGCAGCAGTGTTGGTGCTGCTGACCGGCTAGATAGAAAAGGAGTTTCCATGTGCTTGGTGCCCAGAAGAGACTCCAACCTGAGCTGAGCTGTGCCTGACAATAAGGGGGAAGGAAGGGGGTATGTGGGGGGCCAAAGCTGCAGAGAAGTGGCGGGTGGGAGGGACAGACCTCAAGGCCAGAGTCAGAGCTCCCCACTCTGCTTCATACGTAATAATAAGATGAGGAACTTTTTTCCCCATGCTGATTGGGGGGGAACCTCATCTTACCATATTTACTTGAATGTATCTCTCTTCTGTACCAGCATGTTTACTTTTCTGTAGCCCACAGTCTTTCTTGCTATATAGCAGAGCTGATGCTGCATTCATAACTCATGTGAGAAAGCTTGTAATAATAAAAAGTTTCCTACCTTATAGGCTTCCACTTGCTGCTGACTTGCTTCTAGCTCTCCTTTTAATGATGCCTGAAGCATTAGATGTTCATTTTCCTGCAAGATAACAATATCTAGGTTAATTTAAAAACTTTATCTTTTGTTAATTCGAGAAACTAGACTTGTAACTAACTAGATTATAAACATTTGATTTAAATATGGTGGCATATGCAGCAAAATCATGACTTACAGTTAGCTTTGAATCTGTTAGTTCTTTTTTGGTTTTCACCAGTAGTTGTTTTATCTTGGTGTTCCTTTCCTCATACTGCTGCACAGATGACTGAAGGGACTCTAATGCAAAGAAAAAGAGGTGAGGAGAAGGGATAAAAGGTTCTACAGGCCACTTTTATTATAAAATGGGAAAATTACATCAAAGCTTCCCAAAAGAGTTAAGTTAACCTGCTTGTTCGCAAGGTCAATCGCTGCAGATAGATGAGCTAAACGTAAATCTATGGCAAGCAATGAAATATTTTAAACACATCATTATTTGTTAATTCTTACATGTGCTGTGATTCTACCAGCAGTCTTCTGACTCTCACAGCTCCATAAAGAGAGTACAGAAATATTACGCGGCAGCAGTAGGCTTAAGTTAGTTATGTAAGAAATGCAGTTTGCTCACTAAGGTATTCCCTATTAGTGTAGCTCTTAGCAAACAAGCGGCAGATGAACATGACTACCTAATTTAATATAAGAATGGAATGTTGACAAGTCATCTTCCCACTATTTTTGGCAGCCTCTCTCTCGTCTACTGTGGATGCTACTGAGAATGTCAAGATGTACAGAAAAGCTGTTTTAAAAGCTGTTTGCTCGCCTGTCTTAGATCCGAGATGTCTGGTTGTATACATGAATATCAAGCATTACAATTTTACTCACTTATTTCTTCCTGCAGGGTTTCTTGCTTCTGCTTCTGAATCTTGATCTCTTGCTCAAGGTCTTCAATTCTGCTATTTTTATCTGTAATCTTTTGATTAAGTTCTTTCACAAATCGCTCATAATCAGCTATTTCCATGTCCATCAATGTGCTCTTCTGTGCATCCTGTAGGTTTTAGATTTAAGAAATTGCTTAGAAAACTACAGTTTAAGATTATTCAACTAATTTAAAGATACACACACATTTACTGCTGGATGATGCAATGATGAATTGCTGTTCATTATTATTTATCTACTGCCACCCCCAGCTAGAACCTGTACTCACAAATCAAGATTTTGATGCCATGGACAGACACTCATTGTAGTACATTAAGTTCAACAACATTTTGTAGCACTATGAAAATAAAGTGCTATGGGGAAAATGGGGAACATACACATGTTCAACCCTCCTAGTTGGAACATTACAACATTGCCACAAAGGCACTCCACAAAGCTGCTCCTGGGGCACAAGCTGCCTTCGGGGCAGCAGCAGCAAATTTCTCTGACACTGCTGGGGCATCCAATATCCTTACAGCAGCTGCAACTCCCTCTACCACTGGGGAGCAACACCAGTTCCCAGGCAGAAATGCTGCTTCCCTGGGTCAGCAATGGGCTGTGACAGCGAGTAAGGCTCCAGCTCTACTCCTATCAGGCTGTCAGGGAGCCAGCTGCTGCCCTGGGGGCAGCTGGTGAGCAGAGCACTGGAATGTTGGGAGACTAAGAGAGGTGCACATCTGGTACTACAAAACAGTGCTACAGAAAAGTTTCTTTTTCAAATAAGAACATTTCTGTAGTGCTGGCACCATTTTTATAGCACTGCAGTGGACACACACATCTGTCCCCTTGACTTTTGTAGTGCTACAAGGGCATTTGTAGTGCCAGAAATGCAGTGCCTCCCTGAGGCCTCAGACACCAACAATAACCTCTTAGCCAAAAGTAAAGAATGGAAACAACTAATGGCGACCATTTTAATAGTTTTTCTGCACATCATTTTGAAAAGACTGGCCATCAAAAAAAGCAAGGGTAGACTTGCGATTAAGGCACGGAACTGGGATTCAGAAGACTTGGAATTCCCATTTTTGTTCACGGGGTTTAGGTTGCAACCCATATTAGACAGAGACCCTATTCTTAAAAAGATCTTCCCAGAGCCACCCATCCTAGCTTTCAGACAAGCACCGAACCTCGCCAACCTCATCACCAGAAGCAAACTTCCTCAAGCCCAGAACACACCAAAAGGATCCAGACCGTGCCAGGACAAGAAATGCAAAACCTGCCAACACATCTCCACCACCCCCACTATTACTACACCCACACTACACTATTACTACGCTCCACAACAGAGCCATCAGCATCCCAGGATCTTACAGCTGCACCTCCAGAAATGTAATATACCTCATCCAATGCACCAAATGCCCTGATGGAAGATATGTAGGAGAGACCAGACAACAACTGCGCACCAGAATGAATGCACACCGGAAATCCATCAAAGACAGAAACAGTCAATTACCGGTGGGGGCACATTTCTCACAGGAGGGCCACTCTCTCTCCAATCTCTCAGTCCTGATCCTCAAGGGAAACTTACACAACACTTCCCAGAGACGAGCCTATGAGCTCCATTTCATCAACCTGCTGGATACTAGAGATCAGGGACTAAACATAGACATTGGATTTTTGATACATTACAATCTGCCTGGCAAATGACTCCCCAGCCCAGCCCAGCCCCTAGCTAGTTTACTTTTCATTCCATCCAGGAAGAGCACACACCAACTGCTGCAGCTTCCTGAGCCTGACGAAGGGTTTTTGAACCCGAAAGCTTGCTTAATAACTATTCTCCAACCATTTGGGTTGGTCTAATAAAAGATATCAAATTCACCCAAGGAACCTTGTCATTTTTGTTTACAGTATTCTGAATTGAAAGGGGTTAGTAATAATTTGTGTATTTCCCCATCTATACAAAGGGGTAAAAATTTCCACACACACATCCTTTGCCTCAAATGGTTTTTAAGCTCTTCAGTGTGGGGATGGTCTATCATTCAGCATGCAGCACAACTGGAGCTCTAAACACATACCGTAATGCAATGTTACCCTACCTTCCTTGCCAGCTCTAGCTCCTGCATAGTTTTCTGAAGATGTTTCTTTTCCTTCTGAAGGTGCATCTGAACTTCTTCCAGTTCTCTTAGAGAACAGCTGTGGTCCTGAAAATTAGTATAAATTCTCCATTATACATAGAATTATATTTTGTGGTGTTAGCACAAAATCTGTATCAGCATATTACAAGGATGAGAGTTATTTCAAAGACATCCATCCTAACAACATAAAACTCATAAAGATTATAAAATGTATAGAGGCATTAAACTTAACATAAAACCATAAAGTTCTGCTCTGCTCTAACTGATGGCCTTGTTGAAGCTCTTTCAATGGGAGCAAGAGTAGCCCTTCAGAAGGACAGTGAGGCAAAATAGGATATCGGATCCTAGTCTGATCTGATCTGATCTATAAAGAACAAAAATTAAACCAGCTGGATTATTTTAAAAAACAACACTGCAACCTTTCACGAAACCTTTCTTTAACTTTGTTCAGGAAATATTCTATGTTCCATTTTTTATGGTCCCAAAACACATCCTTTACCTTTATCTTTTGCTCTTTTAGAAGTTTTTCAGCTTCTAGTTCTTTGTCAACTTTTACTTTTGCTTTCTGCATTTCCAGTATCTGTGCTTCTAAAAGCTTGGCATTAGATTGTAAAGTTTCAATACGAGTCGTAAGGTCTTCATTAGCAGAGCGCAGCAGGTCTTGCTAGAATGATGGCAGTAGAAAGATAAGAGTTGAAGTCATTCTTGACACACTTTCAGGTAGGAGATAAACGCAGTACTAAGAACAAGGGACATACGACCCCTTGGCAGCCTGTGTATTCCTGAGGGTAATAAATGAGAGGACAAAACCAAGTCTATAGTTTTGAGTAAAATTGGGAAACAACTTGGTTTAAGAATTGGTGATACAGTTTGGACTCCCAGAGCATAATTTTTTAAAATCTGCTGTCATAGTGATGTGGTAGCTTTTTAAGGGGATGGAGAAATTTGGAAAACCATGACTATCCTTCCAAGAATAGTTTGTCATTAAAATTATTATATCATGCTGAGACACAGACATCCCCTCTCAAGTACAGCTGCCATATTTTGTGAACTAACAGCATCAATCTCTACCGAAAATAGTTACTTAGAATCATCTGGTGTTACCTAACTGTAACGGATAAACTGGCAATACTAAAGCACAGGTAAAAAAAAACTTATTTCCATCTGGATGAGGGTGGCAGATATTTACACGGGTTTGTTTTGAGCCAGTGACATGCTTCCTATGTTGTCTGAGAGTTACGCAAATCCAGGACTAGGTTAAGGAAAATCAAATAAAAGGCGGTCAAAAAGCACTCATGGAGATAATGTGTTGCTTGGGCTGGGCTCTACTACTCCAGCTGAGCAGGGAGCAGAACACACACCTTTCACAGTCCTACACTGTGCTACAGGGAGATACAGACTAAGTCTGAGCAGTCTGGGTCAGCCAATCAGGGCTGCCTTGTGCACTCCTGCCAACTCTTGCCAGGCAAACTGAGGGAGCCAGCACAGCATGCAGAGCTGTGTGCATGGGGACCCTGGCTTTCCAGCATCAGCACTGCAAGCTCTCTGCTCTTCAGGGACTTGGCATTCTTATGTCTACTCAGGCATATTTGGGCAAGTTTTTCCCCAAAAGAACAAACCCAGGAGCATTCTCCCACATCATCTGAATGTGTGCATGCAGCCTAAATCAAAGCATTCCAACCAGGGACTAGATTTAAACAGCTATAAGACTAATTTTCTAGATTTTTTTTTTATTTGCCTATAAAAATATTGTTACACTCAGTGCCTCCCAAAAGAGAGTGTGCGTGTGTGTGTGTGTGTTGGGGGGGGGGGGGGGGGGGGGGGGGGGAGAGGTGTGCATAAACCTAACTCAGTACTCAAATAATTTTAAGTTTTTGAAATTTTGGAACTAGTATATAGTTTGAAATATCTAGTTTTGATACCAAGCATTAGAAAGAAACTCTTGACCCTTGCTGACAGCTGCTATAAGCCTTCTACAATAGGAAGGAGGGACAGTATTAATAAAGGCTAGATACAAATCTGCACTGCTTATTAGGGCTGTGCAACATTTCGGCGGCCGTTTTGCTTCAGAGGTGTTTCGGCCTGTTTTGGCACCTGAAACGTGAAACAAAATGGAAGGCTCCAAAACATCTCTGAAACGAAATAAAACATTTCAGAAATGGTTTCGGGTGTTTTGGAGGTGGGCTTGCAGGGAAAAAGAAACTCAAAAGAGGGAGCAGGAAGGGGTGGGGAAGAACTGCTCTGATATTGACATCTGTAGCTGGCCAGTGTCTGTGATCTGTCCCTCAGGTCCCTTCTAATCCCAGTGCTCTGGGGGAGGAACGGCAGCCTGCTGTTATCCCATGCACGGATCTGGGGGCCTAGCCCCCCCGGGAGGAGTCTGGCACAGCCCCGCAGCGCTCCTTTTAAAGTGCTGGGAGTCTGGAGCTGGGCGGGGCAACCATGGGGGCTTCTCCTGTGGCTTCCCCCGCCAGGACAGAGGCAGGCACAGCTGGCGGAGCTGCAGGAAAAGCCCCCAGGACTGTCCTGCCTGGCCCCAGCCTCTTGGCACCCAGAGAAAAAAAAAAAAAAAAAAAAAAGCTCTGCAGTTACTGGCTGGAGCAGCGGCGACCAGGGCCTTTGAGGGCTTGTGGCAGCACGAAGCAGTGGGGGGACAGTGCGGACCGTGCCGCCCTCCCCCCCCCGGCTTGGCACCCGCATGGTAGCTGTCGCATCATGTGGGTGCAGCATGGCTCGGCAGGGTGCCAGATGTTGTTTGGGAGCTGGGGTGGCTCTACCTGTAAGCTGGAGCCCACAACGCTCAACCCCAATGGCTTCAGCTCCCAGACAGTGTGCAGCACCATACCAAGCCGCGCTGCACCTGCACCATGGGGCAGCTACTGTGCACATGCCAGGCGGAGGTGGGGGCAATCCTGGCTGCCCCCCGCTATGGCTCTGCCATGAGCCCCCAGAGGCCCCGATCGCTGCTGCTGCAGCCAGTGAGTGTGGGGCTTTTAATTTTTTTTTAAGTGCCGGGAAAGAGGTGGTGGTGGGCAAGACAGCCATGGGGGCTTCTCCTGTGGCTCCCCCCACCTGGGGAAAGGCAGGCACAGCCGAAGGAGTTGCGGGAGAACCTGCAGCCGCCCGGCTGCACCTCCCTTTCCATGGCTGAACCGAATCTCCGAATCAGCACTGAAACAGCCTCGAAATTCCAAAACAGATTCAGCCAAATCGAAACGGAACAGTGATCTGAAATGAATCACTGTTCCTCTGAAACAGCCGAATCCAGAACGGAAACGAAATAGCCACTTCGCACAGCCCTACCACTAATCTATTATAGAGGACTTTAAACTTATGACTGCAGTCAGTGTGGAATAGCATTACTTTCTGTCTGCCCAAATGCACTTAATTTCAAGTTTCTGCAATTCTGGGCTATGACAACTACCGCACATTCCAGAACACTAGATATTTGAGACTCAGAGATATCCAGACACTATTCTTATTCCTGTTATTTTAATTATTTTCCCAATCCAAATATTGCAAATAGCATAACATCTATCTCGTTAAAAACAACTTTTGAGCAAAACTATCGAAAGCAGAGGCAGGATTATGAAAATTAGGGGGATAATTAACATAAGCACCGCTGTATTAAACTGGTGACACAAGATCAACTCCATTTGTTGCAACCATTAACTGCTGAAGTACAATATAATTTACCTGCTGAGCGGATGTTTGGAATTGTTTTGTAATGTCATCTATCTGACGTTCAAGGTTATTTGCTCGATCCTTTTCAAAATCCAATTGTTCTGCTTGCTTATCATATTCCAATAGGAGATTCTCGAAACATATAAAAAAAACACTTGAAATGTTGTTAAAAACATGGAAATCCATGACTCACTTGTAATAAAGAAGTGTAAACTACACTTTTACTTTTTGCTGTTTAGTATCTTGCATCTCTTATTGTGCTATCAGAGGGTGCATCTACACGTTCAATTAATGCACCATGATTAACTTTGGCACAGTTTGCACCAGAGTTAACAGCTCCCAGGCACAGCATCTATACATGCACCTGGGACCGCAAGAGTTTGAGCCGGGGCAGAGCAGCCCTGGGCTGGTAGCAGGCTCAGGGAGTCAACCCTGGGCTCCTGGCTGCAGTGTTGGGCAGCAGAGGGGCCAGTTGAGGCACAAGAGTGCCCAAAGAACAGAGTTGTGTGACTAGGTGGCAGGAGGGGTCCGGCACCCTGCTGCCTGGGTTCAATTTACACCTGGGTCAGCATTTACATGTGTGTTTAGGTTAAGTTATTTTCTTCCCCATCAGATAATACTGCCAGGGACAGTACTCTCTCACAGCAATGAAAATAAGGTTGTTGCTGTCTAATAGCATCACGTGTAGGCTGTGACACTTTACACTGAAGTAAATTAGTCTAGTGCGCAGTTAAGCACACGTGTAGATGAACCGAGAAATACTAATGGTAAATCAAAGTTGTGTTTCCATTCAAGGTTCTGGCAGAAACAAACTTGGATAAAGTTTTCCTTGGTAGATTTATGCTGTTTTACTTAGTGATGTGTACAACTGAAGGATTTGACTGAGGTGAGGTCTGTTTTTGGAGTATGTAACTGTCTGTTACATAAAATATGTTTTGAATGTAACTTCATGCATCCTTCTTAAATGGCAGGTCACTAAGAGAACTTGTTTTCTTTTGGCCATGGGGGCAAAGACACACAGTTGGAACCTTAAATTAACTGCATTAGCACGAGGCCTTTCCACATTTAAAGCCTTGTTTTCTTTGGCTAAGCCTAACACCAGAATCCAAAGGTTCTAAGTAACCTTGAAATTTACATTTCAGATTGACTGGGTGAGAAAAGAATTCCCATTTTTGCTGACATTGACTCCTAGAACTTTAAAAAAATAACTCTATTATATCAATATTTTATTAGAAATGTTGATGATGTTAAAGGCAAATTTTAGAGAGGATTTAATTTAGTTATGTTTCCAGGAAAGAATTTCTCTCATGAAAGTGTTCCTAATATTACTTATCTCTGCTGACCTCTCTGGTTGTGCTAGAAAGAATGTCAACTGATACTATTCAGGTTCCTAATGAGAAAATACATTTCTGAACAATCCATGTCCCACGTTACTACTTTACAAGTCCAGAATGTGCATCAAGTCCACATTTCAAAAGGTATGGGTGGATTTTCTTTTTACATATAATTCTCATGCAAATAATAATTTTTTTGTGCTGATCAATTTAAGCCAAAAGACTTTCTTTGTAAAACATAAATATCTTTGCTGGGCAGATACTGATCATGGAACTTTTCAATATAAAAGTCAATATTTTTTTAAGTTTATAATGGAAACTCTTGCTGTTTTAAAATATATATTGTTTAGCTGCCCTGCAGTAAAAAGACCACACTACATGCAAGTAAGAAATATAGTAAAAAATTAAGATGTATATACACGTGTTTATATTCTATATAGCTGACAGGAATAGATTCACCCATCACTAAAGAACAGTTACTTCTCAGATGAAACGGGCAATACTGAACAACACATTGCAACAATTTAAAACAAGGGAAGAATGTTGTAATCACACATGGAAAACTGGTAGTCTGAGTATTATACAATTAAGAAGTGTTAGACAGAAAATGGAGTTAGGATGACAGTATTATAATCAAAAAGAATATTTTCTGATAAATTTGTATTCTTGAAGATACAGTATAACTTACCTTATAGCTTTCAGCTCCTTGAATGATATCCTTCATAGAAGCAGATAACTGATCTTTCTCTGATTGTACCAATTCTAATTCTTCTCTAAGACCCTGGACCTTATTATAAAGAATACAGAATTATGTCATAATAGAACCTTGTTGTGCATCAGGAAACTCTTCAAATTAAGGTCTCAACAAGTTACCTCTTTTCTGCTGGAATCTAGTTCTTTCTTTGCTTTCACAGCAACCATTTTAATTTTGTTTAACTTTTCTTTTCTCTCAGTAGATTCCCTTTCCAGCTTCACTAAAAATCAAAGAAAACAGTTTATCTGAGCAACAGAATAAAATACCCATGTGTATTTAAAAGGTCCTTCATAAAAAGAATAAGCATTCAATATTAGCGAAAAACTGGAAGACATTTGTAGTACGTCTATACAGTGCAAGGCAGCACTACCCAGAGATACCTCAAGTTAGCTCTGTGTGTACAGTAACTCTAGAACAATAGCACAGTGCTGTTTAGGCTAACAAGGAGTACGGCTTAACAGCTCACTGCAACACTGTGCTAATATAGCTGTTTTGCAGAGTTGGTCTGGGTATTTCTGCACAGCACTGCCTTGTGATAGACATACCCTCAAACACTTCATTCAATCAAGCTCTTGAAAGCTTTGTTTGAAAGCCAAAACTCATGCTCTCACCTCGTTCTGTAATGCACTTTTTTTTCAATTTGGTATCACATCTTCTCAACCATCTTAGGATAATTGCCTTGGTCATTTCCAATGCATATTTCTACAGTAAGGGTGTGGTGGCTTTTCTTGAATCAGTTCTAAGGACTCCAAACTGTATGACTATTTCCCAGTTTAAGAAAAGGGAACAAAAGGGTGCTTGGCCAGAGGCAATTACCTCTAGGCTTTATATGATCAAATGGCATCCACAGCAATTAAAACTAGGAGGGTAAATGAAACCCAAGACTCCAGAATAGAATAATACCTTGTAAGCAATGAAGCCAGCCACTAACATTTGCTGATTTTTTTTAATGCTTTGTCTGCTCCCTGATATGTATAAGTGATTTGCTAATAGAATTTTACTAGCCATCAATGTATATGGCCATTTTGCTTATTTCTAAATGGAAGAGACAGTAAACTAAAAAGAACTTCTATTATAAATACTTTAGATTCTAAAATATTCCATAAGGAACCTACCATTTAGGTTACAACCCTCCAGTGAAACTCAATAGGTTTCATTTCCACCTAGGTCTAGTCTTTTACTACAAGGCTATTAGAATGCCCTGGGAGCCTAGCTTTACTTTTTAAAAACATCTAGAAGTAAATTGCTCAGTGGTACTATAAAGGTTACCAGTTCATAATAGTAGTAGATCCTCCCTCATGAATTGTAGAGTTATGCAAGCTGTAGTCAGTCATGCATAACTAGTGATATAAAGAAAATGGGTATTTTAGAAAAAGTACTGATATTGGTAACAGACATCAGCATTCTTTAACCTTATTTTTGGATATAAAGAAAGCATCTGTTTACTTCCATAAACAAGTTAAAGATGAAAGATGAATTGTGTTGACAGAGGAAAAGGAGGCAAGATTTTTAAGTAAGTTTAAAAATTAAAATGGATTAAATCGAAGGCCATAAAGTTGTACCAATTTTTTCTTGAAGCTCTGCTACTGAAGACTGTTGGTCATTTTTCGTAGTCAACTTCTCCATTAAGTCCTGCATCATAAACAGAGGTAAATGATATATTACAGGCATACAAGTATTTGTGGTGTCTGCTATTTCTCAGCAAGACATTAAGCAGCCAATTAAAAATACAGTTAAAGCCAAAATCTGGTCGATTTTTAAGTGAACAACAACAAAAATGTGTTTCCTCAATCATTACAAACAAAACAAAACAAAACAAAACAAAAAAACCCCCCACAAAACTTTAAAGGAAGGAGAAATCATCCTTGCAACAGCTCTTTTCCATCCAATTCTGTCAAGAACAAGTAAAGAGGGCTCAAGTAATTCTGTGCAGCTGTTGTTCCTCAGTCAGTATCAGACACTAACCAACTTTGGATATAAGGAAGTTTGTGGCAGCACTGGAAGCTATTGTAAACAGAGCAGGGGAAATAACTGATCTAACACAAACCTTAAGTTTTGTTCATTTAAGATAAAGAGTCAGAATCATAGAGATGGAATAGATAACCTTTCTATTAGATAATTTCTTCCATCCCTCCGGGTAATAAACAATCAGTCATTCTACTGAATAAGGCTTTAGAAGTTTAGTCTGCATACTTCAATAACAAAAATATAACCTTGAGAGAGTCCAGTTCCGCTTTCACGCTTTTGAGTTCAATGTCTCTTTTTTCTAGAGTGAGATTTAAGTTTTCTTGATCTTTTGTACTAGAGTCCTTCTGCTGCTCTTGGATTTGATTTTCATAACTAGCAAGTTTTTGAAAGATCTCTTCAGTGTGAACTCGAAGATCTTGGTTTTCATTCCTTGCTTTCTCACTGGCTCTCTCTAACTCCTGGATGTCCAGCTGAAGTGCTTCTTTTTCTGACAAAGCTCCTTCCAGTTCTTCTTTTAAGAGACCTTTTTCTTTTTCAAAATCTTGAAGAAGAGACCTATGTTCTGAATACTGAGCCTCATTTTCTTCCTGAAGCCTCCCTATCTCCTGCTGCAAATGAAGAATTTTTTCATCCTTTTGTAAAGCCAGGCTCTTTTCTTCCTCTTTCATTTTCACCAAGTATTCATTTGCAATTTGTAATAAATTAACAGCATCACATTCTTTATCGTGATCTGAAAATTTGGACCCCAATTGCTCAAACAGAGTGTGTAGCTGAGTTCTGGCAAGGGATTTATGTGTTTCTTCACTTTCAAGTAGTGCAATTAAGCAATCTTTTTCATTGACAGCTTTTTGTAGTTCCTTTTCTAAACTTTCCACTTGTTCTTTAAATACCGACCAACCCTCCTTCTCAGATGTAATTTTTTCTAGGTCTCTAGTTAATCTGTCTTTTTCTTTACTGATTTGCATATTTTCCTCCTGAAGACTACTTGCTTGAGATAAGAGACTCTTGTTGTCAAGCAAAAGAGCTTCAGTTTTTCCCTCCAATTGCTCTAACTTGTGGTTATTCTCATTTTTCTCTATTAAAGCTACATTTAGGCTCTCCGTTAATTCCTCTACCTTTTTTCTCAGTTCACTGTTACACTGGTTAACAACTTTTGCTTGTTGTTGAAGTTCCAGAACTCTTTCTTGTTCTTTCTTGCATGCTTCTTGAAGGTTTTCAATCTCTTCAACAGAGTTCTTCACTTGATTTAAGATACCATCTTTCTGAGAGTCAAGAACAATCAACTTTTCTTCCAGTTCTTTTACTGCATCCTGTTTTTGATGGAGACAGGTCATCACTGACTCATTCTCCTCTTGAAGCAAGATTATTTTATTCTTAAATTCTTCCACTTCTGTTTGTTTTGACGATAATTTTTCTGCCTCCTCCTGGAGACGATTCACAGTTTCAAGAAGAACATCCTTCTCATTGAAAGCAGCTCTGAGTTTTTGTTGTAGCTCACTGACATCAGAAGCTTGTTGTTGTCTCATTGTCTCAAACTCCTGGCTGATTTTTCCAGCAGATTCCCCCAATTCTGTTTGTAGAGTTTCCAGCGTTTCCCTCAAGCTCTCATAATTGGACACGGCTTCTTCTTTCTCCTGCATGAGCTTTTGATATTGTTCCTTAAGATCTTGTATTTCAAAAACTAATGCCATATTTTCTTTTTCTGAACTTGATAATAAAGTTTCCTTTAGTATAGACATGTCTCTCATATGTTGGTCTCTCAGACTCTGAATTTCTAAATTATGTTCTTTTACAATGATTTCATATTGGTGTTTTGTTGCTTGGAGCTCAGATTTTAGTTTTTCAATTAAACCACAATAGTCTTCCTTAGCAAGCTGCAGTTCATTAATTTTAAATTCCAAGTCTTCTCGCTCATGAAAGTACTCATCCTGTGTGTGCTGGATTTCCGCTTCCAGTTTTAATTTAACATTACTCATATAGGTTAGTTCATCTTTTAATATACTATGTTGAGATTCCAGTTCTTTCAAGGTACGTTCTAAACAACTCACATTTTCTTCCATTTGTGTTTCTGCACACAGGTCCCCTTGTGTATCTATAACATTAATTTGGTTCTCTTTATTTTTACTTAGAGCTTCTCTTTGGTGTTCTTGGTCACACACAGACTCCTCGTTACTACAACGTAGATCATCCCTTACGCTCTTCTCTTTTATCAAAAATTGTTCTGCCAAATCTTGTGTTAGCTTATCTATCTGTTTTAGCTTTTCTTCATTTTCTTTAGCAGAGGTTTCAAGCTGAAGCATCAACTCTGACACCTCTTCCCGGTGTGCATTTTTTAATTGTATAAGGTCTTCCTGTAAGTTATTTATTTCACTATGGGAATGCTGAGAATGACTTCTGATAGCTTCTTGCAAACATGCGATTTCTTTATTTTTATTATCACTGATAGCTTCCAACTCTTTGTTTAGATGCAAAATCTGTTTCTCATATACAGGCTTAATTTGCTGGACCTCTTCTTGTAGTTTTTTCATTTCTTCTTCCTGGTTATGATAAAGTTCAAGCTGTTGCATAAGCCCTTTCCATTTCTTTGTTTCTTCTTCCAGTTCCTTCTGTAGTCTGGTCAGGTCTTCATTATATATGAACTGTGATCTCGCTATTTCTGTTTTAAGGGCTTCAATTTCTTTCAAGTAATCAGCACTTGACTCTTCTAATTGCTTCTGCAGTTCTTCTATCTTTGTTACAGCAGTCTGAAAAAAACATTAAACACAGACAGATTTAGATATGGGAAATATACAACAATATTAGCGCACATTATAGTCTCACTTAAAAAAGTCTATAAAAAAGAGCATTTGGACTCATGTTATTTGTAAATAGCCGAGTGGAAGTTTAACAATAAATTGAATAAAAATTATAAAAATATAAATTATTAATTCAAACAACTGTGAACTTGGCGACTCTGATCTCCACATCCTTTATGTATGGCCAAGGAAATCTGGAAAGAATTTGGAGATAAGCCCTTGATAGCAATTACTGTACCAGAACAAGATGTAACCTATTACATTTATTCTTACAACATGAAACATATTAACATCTTAAACTTGCAACAAGTGACATCTAAGGGTCTATTTTTTAATTTTTAGTTGTACAGATAAATGGGGACACATAAACATTAAGAATATAAAGTTTGCTGAATGAATCACGGTCAATGGCTAGAATGCAACTAACAGTGCTTGCAAAAGCAGAGGGGACAGCTGACAGGATATTTCAAGATCTGTTACCTATTGATTCTTTCTGTGTTTCTGGAAGATTTGACCCTTGTGCCAGTCCTTTCAATACTGTAAATAAATACTATAACAACTTAACAAGTCCACATGGCTAATTACTCTTAGACATATGTAAACTTGAATATTATTTATGGACATAAGCCAATGAAAAAAGGGATTAAAGGAAAGTGAATCATACTATTGCTTCCTAATATTAAATACTGGTATTAGTTAGCACTTAACACAAAGAAACAATACAACTACTGACACACTTTTCTTTTAAGCAAAATGATTTCTACTTATTTGATTACCTCTGCTTCTTGTTTTCTTTGGGCACTTTCTTTTTTCAGAGCAAGACACTGCTGCTGGCTTTCAGCTTTTTCCAAAAGAACAACATCCAGTCTTTCTGTGAGAGCCTAATTTTGAGACAAAAATAAATACTGGTGTGAAGAGGTGTTATTCAATGTAGAAATAAGTGTCTCAGCAATCTCTGCTAGGCAAGATACTGGCTTTAAGGTTTCTTTTTTTTTTTCTTCCTTTTTGTATAAGAGAACAATACCTAATGCAAGAATGTCTGATACCAGGATAGCTTTAAATTTAGGATCATCCCCCCCCAAGTATAAATTTATTACAGTTTTCCATGACTAGGATCTAACTACTGGAGGGGCGCCTTAAATTTGTCTCCCTGCACTGCTACAGCAGTGAATGCACCAGCAGCAGGGAAAGTCGTGTGGAGATGAGTGGTACCTACCCTCCCAGCACTTGCACCCCACACTGTGGTGCCTGTGCCTCCTGCCACCTGCCCTCCCTCTTCAGTGTCTGCACCCACTTCCCCCCCCCAAAAAATGCTTGCCTCCCTTCCTGCAGCCTATGGCCCCCACCCTCTGGCATCGGGGACACGAGAGCAGCAGTGGCTGGAGCTACCCTGTGCTCTGTGCCCTAGGCCAGAATGGGACCAGAGTCGAGACTGACTGGGGAAGAGGGGGGAAAAGGGGATAGCAGAAGCTGTGGGGCACAGGCATTAGGGGACGAAGTCTGTGGGGGATAGGTGGAGAGACAGGCAGCTGATGCAGCTCCAACTCTGACCCCAACCCTGGGTTGAGGGCAGAGCTTGAGCCACATCAGCTGCCTGCCTTCACTCCACCTTGTACTCAAATCCAAGACAAAGGGTTTTATTCCCAATGCTGAATGGGGGGAGGGGTAACCCTTGTCTTATATTTGAGTAAATACCTTCAGATGAAAGTACAGATGAAAAATATTAACAGCCACACTGTTAACATCTAATGTAGATAACCTATCAAGTAGAATGGATTTGTTTACTGGAAAACTGGTTTCATTAAGCTTTATTATTTTTAATACCCGGAAAATAAAAGCTGTAAGGTTCATGTAAATAATTTTACCCATGAAATTATTAAAACACATTTTGAACTCTTTAAAGGTTCTTACATTGACTTTTCACTTCGGTAGCTACATAAATTACACCGTTTTTGACAACCTACCTGTATTTATCACTAAACTCAAAGGTGGGAGTTTTAAGTACATTCATTGCAACAAATGCCTTCTTTCTGAACTGCTGGATGGCATAAAACAACGGCATCATTTGCATATGAATCTGCAGCAATTACATGAGCTAGATTATCCCTCCTATAGAAACTTTTAAGAGGATTTTAACAGATGAAGGAATTGTCCTGTGGGCATGAGGTCTTATCTGAATCAGTCAGAATAAAAAGGTTTACTAGATATTCATTACAGATGCAAATAAGGAGCTTTAATGGTATGTAAAGGCTATGCAAATAATTCACAATTTACAAAAGCCAATCACATATTCCTACCTGAATAATATCATCAATTCCTCCAGCAGCTGGCTTTGATTTGAGTTCTTCAACCTCTTTTTCCAATTCTAGAACAAAAGTTAATTGTATACAAGTTTCACTGAATTCATTATTTGGAATTAAAAAAAAAAAAAAAAAAATGTATCAGCTCCTTTCTGACACCATAAAAAGTGTGCAAAAATAGCAACTACAAATTTTAAAAATTTCTGAAAACAACTCGATGTCCATTTAAGTCAAGAACTTCTGGGTGAGTTATTCTGTACATGTCACAAAGGCACTGAAACTTGGTGTTTCAGTTTTTAAACCATTTATATACCAAGATTGCCAGAAGAAAAACAAATATATTTAGTAATCTCTGATTTATTTTTAAAGAGGTTCAGGTAAGTCAGCCATAATGGTGCCTGATGACTTTTTTTTTTTAAAGAAGCAATCTTAGCTAAGTGTCTACTAGAGGTGCAGCCGGGATGTGGTGGGGCATGGGATGGAGCCGGAGCATATCCAGGGGGACGCTGGCCGGGTGTCCCCTGGATCTGCACAGGGTGGGGTGCGCGGGCTGGCGCTGTGGGTGCGCTGGGCTCTTCTCTGCGGGGGCTGGGCCTGCCACCTGGAGGGGAAGCTATGGTGAAATTCGGGGTGGCTGCAGGCCTCCCAACTTAGCCCCCTCCCAGCACCACCACCGCTCACCCCAAACCCAGCCCCCGCCAAGAAGAGCCCGACAGCCCCAGCTCCAGCCCGCAGCCCACCTGCCCCACGCAGATCCGGGCGGCACACGCCGTGTCTTCCTGGGGTGCACGGAGTGGCAGAAGCTGCCCCTGCCCCCCTCCCCCATACGAGCCGTGGCTCTGTCCTGCACCCTGCCCAGCTGGGCAGTGTCTGCCCCTCTCCCTCCCTCACTGCGGGGGGCGTTGATTTGCCTTCTCCACGCCCCTTCCCTCCCTCCTTTCCCCTTCCACCACAACAGACTTACTAGCTGAACACAGCTGTTTTGGAAATTGAATCAGTATCGGCCCCCAAAATGTGTCTACACATTTTTTAAGATACTATCATACTCTGCAATAGGGTTGTATGATGATTTTTTAAGAATACTATCATACTCTGCAGTAGGGTTGTACAACAATTATAGAGTAAAATCTATTAGCACCTAGAAAAAACAGAAAGCATACAAACTGAAAGTGGTAAGCCAGACATTGCACTTGCATGTTATTATTCAATCACTGTGCACACATCTAGTGTGAGAAAAATCAGCTTAAGCAAAGAAGCTGGATCCTATGCTAAATGATAACTGCCATTGTGTTACAGTATACTACAGCCAATAAATATAAACAGCCTGTACGTATTTGTCAGAACTCCTCCACCAGGATCAGGAGAACAACTGTGAGCAAAATGGAATGATCACAAAAGGCAGAAGATACCCAACATCCATTGCATGGACTCAGAGTAGCTGGCAATTGCCAGTTTCTATTAGAAGTTTCCACCCTCCCTTTTCTTGCTTGTTACTACCACCAGGAACAGATATGCAGTGATAAGCCCCACTCCAGGATACCGTTCAATTACCGACTTGATCAAAATGTTTTGTCCCATCGCTCCTCCTTGTCTGCTCAGGTAGGGTATTAAATATATTTAAATATATTTAATTATATTTAAATATAATTAAATATATTTAAATATTAAATATAAAATCAATGCAGTGCTTCTTGTCTTTCCTCCATTTTGGGACATCTACCTCAAACCTTTCCCAGGAGTAAGGAAAATGGGAGGGAATGAGGAACTGAAAAATTAGGTATTCACTTGGATACTAAACCAGGTGTCTAATAGGGTCACACAAAATATTATTATTTAGCTAATACATCACTCTGTAATATTTTTCAGGTTCTAAAAAGGTCTTGAACAGTCAACTAAACCCATGTTACCTGCACATCTTGACTTCACTTTCTGTATAAGCATCATTTGCTTCTTTGCAAATTTGATGAGATCTTCTTTGGGTAATGTGTCCAGCTGTAAAACATAGGGAAAGCATGCTTTGTTACATTTCTAACTTGCAAGACTACTAAGCTGCAAAGAGAAAATTTAACTGACTTCCAAAAAGTTAAAATGTAGGAAAAGTAACATGCCTTCCCCTATGCTGGTATCACAACATAACTGTACAATGTCAAAAAAATTAAGTCTACATATACTTTTACAACTTAAGAAGGGACTTAAGTGGTTAATATCCATTCTAAATATAAACCTCAATGCCTTAAGTTAAGGGTCATCATTCTGGGAAGGTGAGTTAAAATTCTTTAGACAAGTGAATATGAGCCAAGTTAAAAATAATGGAGGCATTTTGAGCATAATGTAAATTGTGTAATGTTCTTGAATCCGGCATGCTGACTTAACACTGTTTTACAAGTGGGCAGTATTTTTACATAGAGATATGAGTGTATATAAGGAAATAAAATGCTCATTGTTTGAACTGGATGCCACTAGAAGGTTAGTACATTTGCTCCAAGTAATGATAACAGCCAATGAATTCAGAAGAATTCCTCCTCAGCAGTCAAGGTCCCAAGTTTAAATAATGTAATTCCACTTCTGCAAAAACAGACTAGTCAGAGGTACCCTTTAAATTAGTCCCTACTGAGTCTTCCCACTAGCAGTAGTGGCTACTGTTGGTTGTATGTATGCAAATTGCTGCTGTTCAAACAAATTATGTTTGTAAAAAAGCATACCTTTGATTTGCCTGTTCCTGGTGTAGCGGGGGAAGCCACCATATCTTGCCCAGCATCTTGTACCTGAAGAAAAACAATGCCAGAAAGGACCTTTTTATTATATAACTCTTGGGACTAGCTAAATCTGTTATAAATGACAGTAATTAACTGCTCAAGAAGTACTGTTTTAAAAGAAAAAAAAAAAAACAAAACCCAAAAAGGCAGAAGCCCCATAAGAAATTAGTTCAGATATAGGATGAGAGAGAGCCCTACCTGGATGGTTTCATAATAAATTTCATGACACAGAGTCAATATTATGTTTTTGTTTTGTTTATTATGGAAACAAAACCTATTTATTTTGTTTTAAAATGATGTTTAAAATGTGACAATGATCTGGATTTAAAGATACAGATAAATGGAAACTTAAGTGGAGGAGAATAATTTAAATGAACAATGATTTTATAGGGAATTTCCCAAACAGGATTCAACCAGGTTTACCACCTCTTGGGCTGGCTTTGAAAAATCTAATGTCCACCAGGCACTGACAGCACAAAGAGTGGGTGCTGTTATACATTCAGAAATCAAGTAAAGGCATAGGAAAATACTTGGAATAGGAATACTTGCATTGGAAAACCTCTGATTTTATTTAAAGAAAACTTGAACTGAATCTGGAATACTGTGTAGTTGGGGCAATCACTGGTGGGAAACTTAGAACAGCTGATGCAAGTTTCATGACAAAAGGCCAAAATCAGAACATGAGCTCAGATACAGATCGAAGGCAAAGGCAACAACTTCTCTTCCTAAATCACACCACAAACCTCCATGTAACCAAACACATGTGAAAGGAGACACAACATTTTGAAACATTTCAAGCAGTTTTGAAGCACCTCTGAAACGTTTCAAAAGGCTAGCTTATATAACAGAAATAACTCACATACCACAGTGACAACACTGGAAAGGTTACCAGACTCTTGATACATCAGATCAGGTATAACAAGGAATATATACTCTGCCAATCTCCATGGATAGTACTGAGATAGTTTTCTGTGGTACGCAATAAATAGTGCAATTGCAATAAACAAAATCTCAGCATAGTCAACCACATTTTACACTACTTAAATACTGGACATTTTAAGAGAGTATTTAGTGCCTATGAAAATCAGGAGGCAGAACTAAGCAGTTACAATACGGGCAGCATTAAGTAGTTACAATGCAAATTGAATAAGGAAATTTTTGCTCTAAAGCCACAATCCTGTGCAGTGTTTTTGACATCAGTAGGTCTGATCTAAATAGTTTTCAAGGAAGTTCTAGTGAGCTGTCAGACATTCTGAAATACAATTTCAGAATTTAACAAATACAGCTAGAAAGTATATGTATTGCAACCGAATTATATTTTCTATTTGAAATGAATGGGTAAGTGATTTGAAACTTCCTTTGGAATTTTCGTTGCATCTTTTCAAATTGCATCTGCACTGGGACCAAGCAGCTTGGAGCTGTGCCTACATCACTGCTGCTTCTTGCTTCCTGGCTGCAGCACAGGCACAGCTTACAAACAGTGGGGAGCCACACAAGGGCCAAGCAGCTGGAAGCTGCATCCACACTGCTGCCATTTCTCCTTAGCAACTAACAAAACATAAAGTATTGTTATGCCCCTTTATAAATCCATGGGGCACCCACACCTTGAATTCTATGCCCTATTCTGGCCCCACACCTCAAAAAGCATATGCACGTCCAGCTTTTCTAAATAGTCCCTAACTTGTTTTTTTGCCACTGATGACTACTTATCTTTTCCCCAAATGGTGCTGCCAGGTGCAGTAGTCTGGGAGCTGAACTTGCCTGTGAAGACTGAGGTGAAAAAGGCATTGAGCACTTCAGCCTTTTCTGCATCATCTGTCAGTAGGCTGCCTCCCCCATTCAGTAAGGGACCCACACTTTCCCTGATCTTCCTCTTGTTACTAACATAGTTGTAGAAACTCTTCTTGTTGCCCTTCATGTCCCTTATTAACTGCAACTCCAACTATGCTTTGGCATTC